GGGAGGGGGGAGGACAAGGGAATCTGTGGCTGATATGTAAAATTAAATTAAATTAAAAAATAAAATTAAAAAAAAAGAATTTATAAAGCGCTTTCAAAAATATCCTTGTAGCTTTATCCTTGGAAATTAGTATTTTTTTCTTTCAAAGATGAGTAAACAGAGGTTTGGTACCTTTCTAAGGTCATAGGTCTAGTAAGTGGCAGATTCAGGGCGCAAACACGGTTCATTTTACTTCAAATTCCAAGTAGGAAATGAGGTTAGAAAGGTGAGCTGGAACCAGGATGTGACTGGGAGGCTTGACATTTGACCTGCTGGCCTGACAAGGAGAATTCGTGGTTAGAGCTCTGCTTTGGGGTGGTTGATCTTACAGGAATGGAGTTGGAGAAGAGAGATGTGGATTTTAAAGATTGTTAGGAAGCTCTTGCAGTAATACAGATGACAGGGGATAAACCCTGTTCGTTAAGAAAAATTACTATGAGAGTAGAAAAAGCAAGATGTAATAGAACCTGAGGGTCTATAGAGCAGAAAGAGAGAGAGATTAAAAATAGCTTTAAAAAAAGTTTTGTTTTTTTATGTGGATGAGTGTTTTACCATGTATGTAAATGTACCACATGCATGAGGGCGGTGCCCAAAGAGGCTAGAAGAGTGTGTCAGATCCCCTGGAACGGGAATTGTAGACACTTGTGAACCGCCATGTGGGTACTGGGAACCAAACCAGGATCCTCTGCAAGAGTGGCAATTGGTCTTAACCATTGAGCCATCTCTTTAGCCCCATAAAAATGACTTTTTAAATAGGAATCAAACTCACGGTTTCACACATGCCAGGCAAGTATTCCATTGAGCTCCAACTCCAGTCATAGTTGCCATTTGAATGTAGAAACTGTGTGTGTGTGTGTGTGTGTGTGTGTGTGTGTGTGTGTGTGTGTGTGTAAGAATAGCATTGTGACCAAAGATGATGGCCTTACTTTTATGCTTCTACCTATTTGAAAATCGCCTTGTAGTGCAATAGCCTGTCCCTGGCAACCTTGCAGGACATCCACATACTGGAGCAGGAACAGATAGGAGGCTTGTGAAATACTATTTCAAAGCAGTCTCCCATTCTTTATCTCTCTTGTCACTGACCGATTTGTTAGGCTCCTCCTTCTCTGCCACTGCCACTGCCAGGTTCTGATATGTGTCTTCAGGTACAGAATTTGTTTTAAAAGACAAGGAATCAGCAGGGCGGTGGTGGCACACACCTTTAATCCCAGCACTCGGGAGACAGAGCCAAGCAGATCTTTGTGAGTTTGAGGCCAGCCTGGTCTACAGAGTGAGTTCCAGGACAGCCAGGACTGTTTCACAGAGAAACTCTGTCTCAGCAGGGGGGGGGCGGAGGGAAGACAAGGAATCATGTAGAGGGTGAGTGTGAAACGGCTTAGGCTATAAGGATTCTCATGTCCTTGGTAACTTGGTAGCCAAAGGCAAGGTGGAGCTAGGACCCTCTCACTGAGGGATGGCACAAACCAAGACAGGAGAGGTAAGACTGTTAGTGTACGGAATTGTGAATCCAAACTAGACAAATGAAGGTAGGACAGCTCTCACCTAGCGACTAGGTAAAGGAGGAAGGGTTCTCTTATATCTATCTGTTCATGGTCTAAATGGGCTGAACTGGGCTCGAAGATCGGTTCCCTTAGATGTGATAGGATATTTTACATGTTGGCCTATTCTTACAGTGCTGAACAACAAGGGGTAGGGTTGAAACTGCTTGTCTTGTTAGCACCGTGGAGGTTCATCCATGGACTGATGATGTTGCTATACTTTGAGTTGTTGAGGCCTCATGAAAGGCCACATGGAACCAGAAAGTAAGTGCAAAGCTCCGTTTGCCAGTCCATGCCCACTGATCTCAGTTTCCCTGATGCTCCGTCTGACTCTGACCTCTCTTGGGCCGCATATTCTCGGTCCTTCATGAACCCTCAGCTCATGTCTGACTGCTGCAGACAGCCACTATGTAACTCATGATTCTTTGGTGCACTCCTATAAAACAAACAAACAAATAAAAACAACCTAGTCAGGTGTGGCCCAAAGTTTCATTAGAGAGAAAAAAAATAGAAATGATTTTGTTAGAGGCCCATAAACTGATACATTTCATGTCCCAGTATACATGTGTGTAATCGGAGTCAGCATGTATTGTGTGTTTGAATTGTGAAGGTCCATAAAGTATTAGGAAAAAGTCCCTGATATGCATCATTTTCCATGTATAAATGCTATCCAGCTGGTTGACAGGTTGTATTGGTCTCAATGGCTTTGGCTGTCTACCAGCAGGAGTGACTGATAAGAGTCTGCATGCCAAGTAAAATTTCCTGAATGCTGACAGATGTAAAATGCTAGGTCCTTCTGATTAAGGGAGAAAAAAAAACCCAGCCTCTTACAAAGTAACGAACTGCATTTCTGTTAATGCTACCTTTGCTTACCAGCCTGTAACTTCTGCTCAAATGTAGCCCCAGTACTATCGCCACATTTATATGGGGCTTAGGTCCTACTTGGATTTTATAGATTGACTATAGTAAGCCTCATAACCCTTTCTGGAGCTGTCCAGATTTTTTTTTCAGATTGTAGCCAGTGACAGTTTTATCAATGACTGGCAACACTGTTGTGTCACTTGAAATTAATCTGTGTCTCATTTTTTTTTTGGCAGACATTCCACGAATCCAAGTGGTTGTAACTGATACTGATAATTATATTGTAAAAAATGTGTATTTTGAGTCAGTTTAATACTTGTTTTGATTGTAAGAGATGTTCCCAATGGAGAAATGACATGATTTTATCAACAGTATTGATACAAGTATATGATCAGGACTCCACGTGGCTATCTCAGCCCACCTCTATGGTACAGTAAAGCCATATAGAATGTCAGAGAGAAAAGAAAGGATATATAGAAAGGAAAGTTTCTGTTTATTAAAACAAACTAGTAGAAATAGAAATGATTTAGGTACCTAGCTGTGTGAGTCCATTTTATGTCACTATATCAAAATGCCCAAGCAAAACGCATGGTAAATAAAGAAGTTTATTTGAATCATGATTCTGGTGCCTGGAACGTCCAAATGGCATCATGCCAGCATCCCTGAAAGGGCCCCCTAGCTGCATCACAAGGCATCATAATGTACCAGAGAAGTCAAAACAGAGCTGGACATGTACAGAAGGAGCCAAACACACAGGGTGGCCTTGGATTGAAACAACCCATTTTAGTGGAAACTAATTCAGTCCTTTCAGATGTAACAGTGAAATGCTTCCAAGGTAGCATCTTCGGTGACCTAATTATCTTGTACTAGACTTTGCTTCTTAAAGGTTCTGCAGTCTCTTCACCACACCAGAGACAGTTTCCAGCACATAAGCCTTTAGGGGAGACAAACCATATCCAAACAATAGTACTATCCAACATTTGTATAGAATGTACGTCTAACAGGGCTAGCGAACCCTAACAAGACTAGTAATCCACATTAGTTAATGATTGTGTAAACTGGTACCTATGGTGATAGATGTGGCCTTTCAGATAGTGGTACTCTCTATCATGGAGGACATGACACATTTACTATGGTCAAGTTTGAAAATAATTAGCTGTTTGTGAAAATGTACTTCAGGAGGAACCATGGAAATTTCTATGCAGTTTTCTACATTAATTCAGTTCCCCATTTCAAGGGCTAGACAGCCTCACATTTAACACAGAGAAAAGCAGCAGACTCACTATTTCTCTCTAAACAGGCTTGCTGCCATCGCTGGGATTTAAGCAGGCAATTAAATGTTTTAATTTTAACCTCTGACTCCTTGAGGTCTTTTTTTTTTTTTTTTTTTGGTTTTTCGAGACAGGGTTTCTCTGTGTAGCTTTGCGCCTTTCCTGGAGCTCACTTGGTAGCCCAGGCTGGCCTCGAACTCACAAAGATCCGCCTGCCTCTGCCTCCCGAGTGCTGGGATTAAAGGCGTGCGCCACCACCGCCCGGCTCCTTGAGGTCTTTATAACTATAAACAGGGATAGCAACCCCCCCCTCTCTCTCTGGCTATCCTAGAACTTGCTATGGAGACCAGATATCAAAAGCAGAAGATAATTTTTTCACAAAGAAAAAGTAATGTGCATAAGATACCCATTTTTTTTACCCAAACTGCTCTTTCAACTTGTTCACTTTATACACCTTTTACCGTGTTCACGAGCTGTAAAATGGCTGAGAGGCGAGAGGTAGGAAAGCCAGATCAAAGCAAAATGCTTTGCAAATAGTTCATTTTCCCATAGACCCTGACTTTTGTAAGGAGAAAGTCAGATTGCAGGATCATCCATTATGTGAGACCTAGAAATCAGCTTCACGGCTCCATCTGCCACCATGCCCGCTGTTCTCCGTAACTCAGTAAGTGCACCACTGTTAATGCCTCCTTGCTTCTGGGATATCCCTAGGAAGGAATTCAAGACAAATTTAGGTATGTTAGTACTGAACTGGAGATTTTGATAGATTATTGGAAGGCAGGGGTTCTGGTATCACAGATTTCTACCTTTTGCAGATAATGCTGTAGATCCAGATGTATCTGCCAGGACCGTCTTTATAGATGTCGAGGAAGTCAAGAACAAACCTTGTTTGACCTTTACTGATGATGGATGTGGGATGACACCTCACAAACTCCACCGGATGCTCAGGTAAAAATATCTTTATTCTATTTCTTTATCTTTACTTCACAAACTTTATTTAAGGCACTGTAACTTGTCTGTAATGCTTTAACTTACCTCTATTTACCCTATGGATATTTATTAAGTATATCTTAGTGTCAAGACACTGATTGTGAAGCAGACAGTATTTCTGCCTCCATGGAACTTAGAATCTAGCTGGCAATCAGATGATTAAAGCAAGTAACCATAATAAAATACTCTACACATAAAAATAGGAAAGTATGAGATGCATGGGGTAAGTACACAGCAGAGCCCAATCTGACCTCAGAGGTCTGTAAAGGTCTCCTAGTTAGAATGCTGTTCACATTGAGGTGTAAAGGATGAGTCAAATTTAACAAGGTGAGAAAGGGTAGGGAGTAGGGAATGGCAGTTCAAGAAGAGAAAATGGTCTAAATAAAAGCCTGAATTTCTTCATTTATCTGCTACCTTTGCCAGTTCATAACTCACCTAAACTCATTAAGTCACAAGTACTGGAGTTGGGATGACTCATAGGTTAGAACTGCGAAGGTGCCTGAGCATAAAGAAACCCTATGAAAGGTAAATAGAAGACATTCCCATCCGTAATCTTGGAAGGTTTTACCGTGGAACTGTGGAGGTCAGAGGGGATGTTTTCCAACCAGCGAAGCTGAAGATAAATTCATACTGCCCTAGCGAGTCCATGTAATTATTTTTCAACGTTGGTGGTTGAGAATGTTTGTGCTTTATTGTCTTCCCGTATCACTTGGTGCAAGCTGGGGGTTTCTTCAACCCTTTCCTCCTTTTTTTTTTCCTTTTTAGCAGATGTGGTTGTTAACTCTCCATGTGCTTCCTGAACTAGAGCGTGTAAAACGTGGGCAACAATGGAGCAGGGCTGACGAGAAGGGAAAGGGCTCAGGATCCCCAAAACGGAAAACCAATTGCATTGTGTTGTAGTTTTATTGGAAAGCTTTCTGTTTAGAGGGCACTCCCTTTGTTCCTTCAAAGAAACAAATGAAATTTGGTCAAAGGAAGAGGTCGTGTTTTACTACCCAGAAGTCTGTGTATCTTTTACTTTAGTCTTTCTTTTTTAAAAAAAAAATATTTTGTTTTATGTGTATGCGTGTTTTGCCTACATGTGTATGGCTCAGATACCCTGGAGCAGGACCTACAGAAAGCTGTGAGCTGCCGTATGTGTGCTAGGAATTGAACCTAGATCCTTTGGAAGAACAGCTGGTGTGCTTCGCCAGTGAGCTACCTCTCCAGCCCTAGTCTCTCTGAGTTAGAAGAATATTTGAGTGTCAGGTATGGTAGTGCATGCCTGTAATCCAAGCACTTGGGAGAAAAAGCTAGGGGTATTGAGAGTTCTAGGATTCTCTGTGCCACGAAGCTTTGCCAAAATAAAACAGAGCAAACAGAAACTCAGGGAAAGCTCTAGAATATATATCCAGTATGTGGTGAATGTAGAGCTAGAGAGTTGGTTTGATTTATGATCCACAGCATCAGTTTTATACCCTGACATTAATAATACATACTAAAAAGAAGACAATTTAGATAGGGTAGAATTATAATATTTATGTCTAATTCTGTGTTACAACATTTCTCTAAAATTGCTGGTCACCTGTTTTTAAATGTGTTTATGTGTATGTACATGTTTTTGTATTTTGTGTATCTGTATGCACATGCATGTCCATGTGTGAAAGCCAGAGGTTGATGTCAGATGTCTTCCTCGATTACTCTCCACCTTTTTGTCCCAAACAGGGTCTTCCATTGAACCTGGGGTTTACCTTCAGCTAGACTAGCTTGCCAGCAATCCCCATATATCCCTGTTTCCACCTCCTCGATGATGGGGTTACAGGCATGCTCTGTCCAGTATAGGGTTTACTGCGGGTGCTGGAGACCCAAACTCAGGTCCTCTTGCTCACACATCAAGCAGCTTACTCACTGAGCCACCTCCCTAGCTCCTGCTGATCACCTTACTGACTTCACCCACAACACCTTATCCCAGTTACATGGGCATCAAACAGTAAGTAGGTCTAGCAAACATAAACACCTTCCATTTTGTTCTGTGCAACTATATGTGTTGAGACAGATATAAGAATGAAGGGAAGAAGAGAATGATTTGAAAATAATTTCAGCGCCCCAAGAGATGGCTCAGTGTTTAAGAGCACTGGCTGCTCTTCCAGAGGACTTGGGTTCAATTCCCAGCACCCACATGGTGGCTCACAACTGTCTTTAACTCCAGTTCCAGGGGACCTGACACCCTTTTCTTGCCTCTGTGGGCACTGTATGCATGTGATATGCAGACATGCATGCAGGTAAAACACCTATTTACATAAAATAAAAATCAATAAAATCTTTTTTTTAAAAGAATAATCACAAGTTTTGTGATTAAACACAAAATTAAACACAACAATGAAGTTTCCAAATTCATTCATTCAGTAAATTCTTACCAAATGAATGGATGAATGAATGAATGAATGAATCTGAAGCAAGTGGTAATCTAGATGGATATGATCTTTGCTCTAGAAGTGTTGACAGTATAGCGAAAAAGAAGTTGGCTACTGCTACAGATAAGTAGGCTCTTCTACCCAGAGGTAAGTGGTGGGAAAAAGAGTGGTGCAATTTCTTTGAGAACAGTTGACAGAAGAAATTTAGTCTAGCCTGTGAATTTTTTTAAAACTACACAAAGAAATAACTTACACACATTTATGTGTGTGTGTGGCGGGGGGTGCCTGCGTGTGGAATGCAGAGGACAGCTTTCAGTGGTTGGCACTCTCCTTCTGTCACATGATTTTGGGATTGAACTCAGGCCTTCAGTCTTGGTGGACGTACCTTTGCCTACTGAGACATTTGAAACAAAATATGAAGGATCAGTATCATCCATTCAAAATTTGGGCCCTTCCCAAAGAAGCCAAATAGACAGAAACTTCTATAGCCATATCATTTTTTATTGTCACACAAAATGTATTTCCCACTGATTTTCACAGAGCATTTGTTTTTTATATTTAAAACTTAATTTTAAAAAAGTCTATTAATGAGTACTTAATGTAGTGTATATTCTGGATTTTACTTGTGATTGTCTCTCAAAATAAATGTGAATTAGCTAAAAGAGATCATTTATTTAAAGGAGATCATTTAGTCTAATCCATACAACCCAAGACTTCACTTCCCACAATTGTTTTTCTAGCAATGCCTTGCTCACGACCAGCAAGTACTATTCTATCTGGTCTCTATAGCCCTAGCCCACTCCAATTTTTGAAGAAAAAAAAAACACTCTAAACTTTAGAGGTAGTTTTGAATATTATTACTGTATAAAGTATTTTTTCTATTTTTCATTTTGTGACATATTTATTTTGTATTTGGAAAAAATAACAGAAGTCGGGCAAAGTATGCGAAAGTATTAAGCCTATAGCCGTTCTGTTTGACCTCTGACATTTATTGGTATCCTGTGCCTGTTTTTGTGACTCACTCTGCTACTCTTCCTGTTTTCAGGCTGATAAACCAGGCTGTGTAACTGAAGGAGCAGTTTCTTTCATAAACACAGAAACCCATGAAAATTAAACTAAAAAAGGAAAGTCTGTGCTGAATAGGTAGTTCCTCTGAGCACTTGCCTGGCATGTGAAAGCCTTGTGTTTACTCCCAGCACCTCAAGGGGAAGAACAAAACTAAATCAAAGAAAATCTTTCATTCAGTTTTTTTTAAAGGCCTACTGTTCTGTCCTTTTGGGCTTTTTGGATAGTATGTGAATCAGTATATACCATTCAGCGGCCTTTTCCAGCAAGGTGGAAAGCCTCTTTGAAAAGGACAAGGATTAAAAAGAAGCACAAAGCCACAGATTGAAGGCCTTTACTGCCTCTGCTCAGAATCATGTAGCATAGTAGGTCTGCTCCCAAACAGTAGCCAGCCAGAGAGTAACAGCCTGCTTATCAGTCTTTTAGTCACTTAGAGTACATATTACACCACCACTATATGTAGGAAATAAACACACAAATACCTACTCATGTATTTCCCTGGTGTTTTGTTAAGGTAAATTTCATTGATCTGCAAACCCAATTTAAACTTCTCTCTCCAGAATCTAGATTCCTGACATCTTAAGGGTATTCAAGAGGAAATTGCTGTGTTCTTGTAGTCCATCAGGAGTGCCAGTCTGCAAGTCCCTTGGTGTATCAATAATGGTATTTGTTACAGGAGAGGACAGAACAAGATTGACTTAGTGAAGATGAACCATCTAAGCCAAGATAGCTCTTCTGAAATCATTTGAGCTATAGAAAGCTATATAAACTTGCATGTTTCTATTCTAAAGTATGGTGAGCGCTCTTGAATTAGGTATTTGCAGTTAAACAGAAAATTTAACATGGGACCTCTGGTGAACGAGAGCTCATGGAAGAGTTAGTAATAGAACAAAGTCTAGAGCTTCCATTTCTCTTCTGCTTCCCTTTATCCTTTTCCATCCTACTTCTGCCTGTCCCGTTTCTTACCTTTTCAACCTTACAGCATCCCCCCATCTCCATATGGTAGCTAATACAAGGATCTATTCACATGGAGGGGGAAATAGTGACAGACGCTAGAGGGGACTGGAGAAGAAGAGATTGACAGTTTGCCTGTTGTACCACTTCCCCTTGACTATTCAATTGAAAGTTTTGTGATATTAGAAAAAAATAAAGCCAGATGACCATACCAATTCATTTCATGTGGCAGGTAAAAGGCCTGTTTATGAAGAGCCCTGAATTTTAAATATGTCATTAGATCTGGAGTACAGATAAGGAACAGTACACTCCAGTTCTCAGAGTGAATCCTAGAGTCAGTTTAAAATTAAAGATCGAATATTACTTTATAATTGATGTATTTTACAGAGGCTGTAACTTTGTCTTCCTAATGACCTTGTCTTTTCCAGCCAGCTCTTCTATGAGAGGGATGAAAATACCAGAATGTTATCAGCTTGTAAGCCTTACTTCCTGGAATCATTAAGGCTCAAACATGATGTTAACTCAGTGTTCTCTTTTCAGAGGACCACTTGCCTGAAAATTGTTTTCATCTCACATTAGATTTATTGGTAGGATGCACAGAGACCTAGGGAACATCAGTACATTGTTACGTAATATCTTATAACAGAAAACTGAAAGCTGGTCCCTTTTATTGGGTGGTAAACACAAAACCACAGTCTTCTGGAAATGGAAACTAGGTAGTTGAACCCTCTTCCCACTGGAAAGAGTAAGGGCAGAACCAACCTGCTCAGCTGTGCCATGTGCAGACAGTGTCTCTTTCACTGATACCGGAGAAGCAGCTAATCTGTAATACATGAAATCCTGTCAGCTATCAGTTTGAGGGCAAGAATCATATCGGTAGTGTTAACAGTTTTGTCTCCAGTGTTTAGCATAAGACATAACTCATTGGGCCTCAATAAATGTTTAACTAATGGCAGCATACATCATTGTGAAATCAGGCAATCTGGAGATACACAATCCTCAAAATTAGTGTTATTTGTGGTGGTGGTGGAGGATACAAGAAGGAGATCATTTTGTAGGCGTCACATGTTGAAATACTTTTATATTCTGTTGTTTGGATGTGTATCTGAGTACCTAAATGGCAAACATAAGAAAGGGAAGGATTTTGACTCAGAATAAGCTGACGACAGGAGGCTGCGGAGTTTGCTGAGGTGACTCAGTGAGAGGCCTTTAATAGAACAAGAGAGACTTTATGCTGCAGCTGTTTGCAGATATCCACAGGCAGAACTACCTATTTTTATCCCTTGGCAGCACTCCAGTGAACTGTCCCAGCAGATGGAACAGAGCCTTAGAATGAGGAGGGTTCGCCTTTGGGTGGGGAGTTGGAATTGTCAAGATAAATGATCTCTTAGATTTTTAGAGGGCGATGTGAGCAGATGAGACGGTGCTTAGTCCAAGTACCTCACTTAGCACCACCGGTACTTGTCTGACCCTCTCCAGGTAGCAACTCTTTTCGTATTCGCCCCAACTCAGAGCAGTCAGGGCGGATTTAGCGAAACAAGAAAGGCAGCTGTGCAAGGCCTTCCCTGGATCCTCCTGTTATGTTAGCCAGTAGGAGCATCTCATTTACCAAGTGTGGCTCTGGCATATAGAACCACTTAATGGTTAAGTACACACAAGCCACACTGGAAAATTGGTCTCATAGCCCAATCGTAATTTCCTATGTTTTGCCTGGAAGGACCCAAAAGAGTGAAAACAGAACTTGTTGCTATTCTGCATGTATAATCTAACCATTCTCTCTGCTAACTGTTTTAGGATGCTCTTTACCTTACTCATTTCTTTGTTCTTCTGTAATTTCAGCTTTGGCTTTACAGATAAAGCAATAAAGAAGAGCCAGTGTCCCATCGGGGTCTTTGGTAATGGTTTCAAGTCGGGTTCCATGCGGCTAGGAAAAGATGCTCTTGTCTTCACCAAGAATGGAAATACTCTCGCTGTTGGACTTCTGTCACAGACCTACCTGGAGTGTATCCAGGCCCAGGCCGTCATTGTCCCAATTGTCCCATTCAGCCAGCAAAGCAATATCCTTCCTAGAAATGGAGAGTAATGGATTAAATATTAGTCTGACTACTTTGGCGGAACCTCTTCTTCAGGTCGAATCCAGCTTACTTGATATTTTATATTTCAAATAAATTTTTATATTTAAAAAGGTATTCAAACATTTCAAAAGTAACTGAAATGTCCCTCTATTAAATATTTTTTTAAAATAGTGGGCCGTTAGCAGAAGTTTACATTTTTTTTTTCTGTGTTCAAATTCTCACTGTTACAGCTTGATTTATAAAATTATCTTTTTGCTAGACACTGTTCTGTGGTGAAGTTCTCAGGGCCTTTGCCCCATAAAGGCTAACTGCATTTGTGTTTCTGCTCCTAGAAGTGTCCTATTTGCCAGTTTGTCTGCCAGCAGAATGGTTTGTTTGTATATACCTAGATGGCCTCTCATTTCTGATGGGAGAAGTATGGCAGGGAGATTTGAACTTGACTGCTTCCAGATAGTTAAACATTTTGGCCTTTGATCTTTTTTTAATGATATACTTTCTTTGTTTACATTGCATCTTTGCAACTGCATTCTGCAATTATAACTGACTTTGATGTTTGAATAAATAGCCTTTTTCATCTTTCCAACTCCTTTTTTTTCTATAGCAGTAATGCTCATCCTTTGCGTGTAGATTTTGTGTCTACATGGAAGCCCAAAGACACTCTTTTTATAGTACTTATTAATTTACATAACTGTATAATAATGTCTTTCATTGTCATATTCTTGTGTGTATAATGTGTTTGTATTATATTTACCCCACCCTCTCTTGGCTCCTCCCACTGATCCTCTTCCTCTTCTCAGCTAATCCTCCTTTTTTTCCATGCCTTTTTTTGACCCAGCCAGTTTCATTATGACTTTTACTTCTTGGTACCATCCTCATAAGATGCTAATTTTCTTTGACAATGTTTTTTACAAAAAATGATTGTTACTGAAGATTCTTTGCCGAGCCTAGAAGCCATCTTGAACTACTCAATTTTCAACAGTGAAAAAGACCTGCTATCTCAGTTTGATGCTATCCCAGGGAAAAAAGGCACCCGTGTTCTCATTTGGAATGTCCGCAGGTATAGTATCCCAGGGGTGTTAGATTCTAATAAGCCAACATCGTATGACAAAGTGAATTTTGATACTCTTTTCTAGATAAGATTGGATAAATACTGAGAAAGTTACCTCTCTGTAAAGTCCTTGATTCTATTGAAATAGTGGTTCTCATTGATAAGATCGTGTATATAAGGTGAAAATATGCGTAGCCCGAGGCTGTAGGACATTGACATTGTTTTAAGATTGGCAGACGATGGATATTTTATGCATGGGCTAATTAAAATGAATTAATAAGAAAGGTTAGAGTGGAATACACATTATAGTTTAAAAATAAATTCTGTAGTCATACTTTTAGAGTAGCTTAGAGTAGCTTGAAATAGACAAAAATCTTTGAAGCAGATCAGTTTTAACTATAATGAAGTTGTATTAAGATCATAACTTTAAAGCTAATGTAACAATCAAGAGAAAGTCTATGATGCATCTTTTAATTTTGGCATGGCAAATAGAATACATTTAAGAGCGTATTAAAGCTTTAACACAGAAACTCTAAAAACTTTTCATATAGCATTGAATGATTACTTATCTGTTTAATAGAGCAGTTGAGAATATGTTCATTTTTTTTCTCTATATGTCAAGCACTTTTCTAATTAGCTGGGTGAAGTATATATGTTAAAAGAACACTGGTTTATACAGACACTGTAATTATAACTAAAAATAAAAAGTAAGGAGGGATCATATACCCTATTGGGAAAACCTTAATGATATAATTTGTGTAACCAGGGACTGTTTTGCTGTGTTATTTTCAATGATTTACACTATTAAATACACTTTTTTCCTTTGTGCATTGTTTCTCAGCTATACTTAGAGCTTGAATGGTCAAATAATGTTGAATAAAGCTGCCTTAAAGCCTATTATATTGTTTTGTTGAAAGAATTTTCAGACATATTTAATAGAGTGATACAGTATTAACTGTATCCAGTTTTTTTTTTTTTTTTTCGAGACAGAGTTTCTCTGTATCTCAGTTTTTTAAAAATGTTTTTCCAGACTTTTTTTTTCTTGGATGGCGAAGGTGAGGGGCAGGAAAGATAGGGCCCTCCTCCAGAGTGTTTGTACTAGAGTAGGCTAGGATAGTAAGAATCACAGTTATCAAGAAAAATCTAGGCTACAATTGACTGTGGTGCGGGCTTTATACACGCTGCTTGCCACAATGGCCCCTGGCCAGCTTTGGGAATGAAGGTAAGTTTTCAGCGTAGCAACTCTGAACTTGAGCTTGGAGTGTGAAGGAGGTTGACATTAGAGCTTGAGGTGGTTCTCTACAGGCTATGGGTTTCTCAATTTTATTTGCTCACACAACTTTTATTCCTCTTTTTCTTATTTAAGAATATCTAGGGACTACTGTTCCCCAGAATAATTTTTGAAGACTATTGTTCTCATACAGAGATTGTCTTTGTAACTCATCTTTAAAAAAAACAAATTTAAGGATATTTTCCCCAGGAACAAAGGTGATCCTTTATGCTTTTCCCCCCTGATATTGAATGGTGAGGTTGTCTATGGTCGTGAAGGGAAGTAGCCTTTCAAGTATTTCGAAAGCTGAGTAGTGAAGAAAGACTGAGAATAAGAAAGGTCTGTATGAAAGGGATACCAGTGTTATTATATGGACACTATAATTCCATATTTCAAAGGACTAGAAAATAGATGATGTTCTGTAGTAGTAGTAGATAGTAGTAGTGTGTGTCCATGTGTGTCTGTGTGTGTCTGTGTATGGTGCATGCCTTTAATCACAGCACTTCAGAAGAAGAGGTAGGTGGATTTCTCTGAGTTTGAGACCAGCCTAGTCTATATAGTAAGTTCTAGGTCAGTCTGGGATACATAGTGAGACCATGTCTTAGTGGAGAAAAGACATAGGACTACATATGGAGAAATCCTGGTAGCTTATTAGTTCATATCTTGCTGCTGAAGTGAGCAGAAATTGATTTGGATTAATATGTTCATTCAGTTGGAAAAAGTGATATTTAGTGCCATCTTCAGCAGCACCCACAAAGCTGATATTTAAGATCTTGCTTTGAGGGTAGCTGACATCCATTCGACTCATCAGATCACAGATATTTCATATTCCTTCTTTTCTTTCCTTATGAACCTCGCATCACCAATACTATGAAACAGGGTAGATTGATTTAGAATAGGAACAACTTAGATATTGTGTGATCCTCAAATATCATAGTTCATAGTTCCTTTGGAGTGGTAGACAGGGGAAGCAGCATACACCTGAGTATTGGCTTATATTTCATTTCTGTTTGGGTCCTAATTCACCCCCTCCCCCTCCATGTGCACTGGAGCCAGTTTTTAAATTGGTGCTTGTCTCTTATACTTAGAAACAAAGATGGAAAGTCTGAGCTGGACTTTGATACAGATCAATATGATATCCTGGTATCAGACTTTGATGCTGAAGAAAAAGACATCAGTGGTGTTACCTCCCAGCTGCCAGAAACAGAGTATTCCTTACGAGTGAGTAAGAATAGTCCTTCAACAGTGGGAAGTACAATTTCCTATAACATGAAAACATTGTATACGGAACTGAAGTGCAGACGTGCAGAAATGATGCTCTGCTGGGATACATGTTCACCATCTACACTGAAGCAGTTTAGTTAGTATAGCCACTTCCTCTCAAAATGGCAGTTAACGTATTGTGAAAAAGTATAGAAACTGAGCCAAATATATATGGCCAAGCCTAGGCTCAGTTGGCTAGTGATGTTTTGGGGAGATATCTGTAGAATTGGCAATATGCTTAACAATTTTCCATTTGTGAATCTATAGGCATTTTGTAGTATTCTATATATGAAGCCCCGGATGAAGATTTTTCTGCGACAAAAGAAAGTGACTACCCAGATGATTGCTAAGAGCCTTGCTGATGTGGAACATGATATATATAAATCTCCCTTCACGGTATCCTTACATGCAGCTGACTACTTTATTCTGGAGTAAATCTCTCTATTGGTCCACAGTCCAAACCCTGCCTTATTCCAATTCAAAATTGTGTGCTAAAACATCCAAAATTGGGTGCTGAAACACTGTACTTGAAGGTGGAATTTTTTTAAGTGTCCGTGCACTGGTTTCATCAGAAACTGACTGCAGACTATTAAATAAGAGTCATGTGATTGTGAAGACTGGCTCAATCAAATTTTAAAATCTATTATTGTTTTACTTATTTATTTACTTATTTTGAGACAGGGCCTCTCACAGTATTCCATACTGGCCTGAAACGCATTGTGTAGCACAGGCTAGCCTTGAACTTGAGGTGATCATCTTGCTTCAGCCTCCTGAGTGCTAAGATTACAATTATATGCTGCCACACCTGGCTTTGAAATCTTTTTTATTGGAGATACTAGTTTTTAAATCCTCAGTGTATGCTGGTGAGCAGCCAGATTTGAGAATCCCATCCATAGATATTCCCATTACATTTGATTAAAAATTTTTAGTTGGAGTTGTTCATCTTACAGCTTACGTTGTACTAGGTCCAGATTTAGACTTGGATATGAATTAGTGAGTGGAAAGGGAAGGTATTTCTAGGAGGAGATGAATCACTAGCAAGCTCAACATGGATTTCCTGGGAACTTTTCATAATGACAGCCACCTAGAAGAGCACTTGCTCATTTTCTACCCCTCATTGCGCTGTAAGTGGATTTCAGAAACTAGGGACAATCTGGAAATGAACTGTGCTAATTAACCATCTTCATTGGTGGCGTTTTGAGGAAAAAAAATTAGTCTTCAGAAGACTGAGAACTCAAGTATTTATGAAAACTTGCTTTTTTATTTTCTAGTAATCAGAAATACAACTCTTGGCTCTTTAGACATATTCCCTGCATTTTTAAAATCAAAGACATTATTTTACTTCCTCTTTTTTCCCCTACTGCCACAATTAGAAATTGCTCATCTAAAATAAACTGTGTAGTTATTCCTCACAGTGATTTTTTTTTCCCTTTTGGAAACACATGCCTTTTCTACTAGGAAATTTGCTTCTGAATCCCTAGACAAGCCTAGCTTAGAGTCAGAGCTAGCAAGTGAGAATATTGTTTCTAACTCACCTTATGTAGGTTAGGATCGTAGTGCCCCTCTAACTGCATGTTTTCCAACTTCTGTTTTACGATGTGTACCTTTCCTGAGTGTGGCTTCTTACTGTTGTGGGTTTCTGTCAGGCCAACTTCAGTGAAGGTATTCTGTATTGCTCTCAGCCCCCTTTCTAGTAATCCAGTTACCTTCTCATACGACAATCTAGTTAAACAGAGTCATTGTTGGCATGGCTAAAATGAAACCCCAGTCACTGGAATTATTTTCCTGAAATGACTGCAGAAAAGGGTAATCGATACTGATTTATTTGTTCCTCAGTCATCAAAAAAGAAAACAAAAACAAAAACAAACCACCATTACTCCTCTCTGTGCTCTTCACACAAATTTCATGCATTTCCTTCCATAATGTACCCTCAGCCTAAAACTGAAAATTTTCAAAGTGTACAGCACAAAATATTTGATAGTCACTATCTTTAAAATGTCAATTTTATAGTGTGAGAATTTTGATTGATTTGGGAAAGTTTTGTCTTATTTCTTTTTTTGTTTTGTTTTGGAATGAGGTCTCGATTGAAGTTTGTCTTCAGTTCCTAGAGCCCCAAAACTTTGTATGTTCTGAGTCAAATATTAGAGTACTTGGTTTACCAACTGTATCATGTTTTCTGTTGTACCTGACCCAATTATCATATTATATGATGTACATAGCCTGTTGTTTACAGAGACTGAGTAATTTTTTTTTTTCATTTCTGTGACCATTAGTAAGAGAAACTAAGAAAAGAAAGATTTATTTTAGCGCATGCTTTCAGAGATTTGGTCCATTGTGCAAGAACGAGATGGTGGAGCAGAGTAGCTAGCTCACATTGTGACAGCCAAAAAAGTAGAGCAAGCAGTGGTGGCGCACGCCTTTAATCCCAGCACTCGGGAGGCAGAGGCAGGCGGATCTCTGTGAGTTCGAGGCCAGCCTGGGCTACCAAGTGAGTTCCAGTACAGCCAGAACAGTTTCACAGAGAAACCCTGTCTCAAAACAAACAAACAAAAAAACAAACAAAAACCATAATCCCAGCATTCAGGAGGCAGAGGCAGAGGCAGAGGCAGGCGGATCTCTGTGAGTTCGAGGCCAGCCTGGGTTACAGAGTGAGTTCCAGGAAAGGCGCAAAGCTACACAGAGAAACCCTGTTTCGAGAAACCAAGAGATAGATAGAGAGAGAAGAACATGAGATTGCTTGCGTTTTTAAATGCTTTCTAGAAAGTTTGTCCATTCACATGCAGTGACATTTGGTGCATTCTTTTGTTTTTTGTATTCTATAATATAATACTTATCTTTCTCCTGAAGCCTCTGGTGTTTGTCTCCTTAATGATTATCTTCTCAGAATAAGCAGGTGAAAATCACATTTGGATTCTCTTGCAAATATCATAACCAGTTCGGAGTAATGATGTATCATAACAACCGCCTTATCAAGGCCTTTGAAAAGGTGGGCTGCCTGTTAAAGGTGAGTGCTTAATGTGGTTTTTTCATAGGGGCTTGCAAAGAATGGGAAGAGACTCTTCAATTGCTGGGAAGATAGATTCATTAATGGTTTTCAGCCCCATCTTATGACGATTGCTAGATTCTGATACTGAAATTCTGGATCAATATTTCAGGTGTCCTATGTGGAAAAAACTAGTTTTCTGTTCATAAGGAGCAGAGTTCAGTCATACCAGCCACACCATGTGTATCAGCTTATTAACATGTCAGATAACTCTAATTATTATCTTGTGGAGGAAATAAAGTATATTGGGAGGGTCATAAAATTTAGTGGTTAAAAAAGCAAGACTTGAGCCCTGGGTTTTCTATTTATAAGTTATATTCCTGGATAAATCAAGTAATTCCTTTGAGGTTCAATTTCTATGCTAGTAAAGTAGAAGGCGTTTTCTTTATCTTCCTTTTAATTTAGAGGATTAAAAGATAGTGTGATAAATGATATGAAATATTTCATAAGCCAAATTACACAGATGCTACCATTGTCCTTGGTGTTTAATGATCCTCTAAAGAAGTGAGTTCCACAAGTGAGAGGATTAGATGGCGGAAGCACAGCGAATGAAGGGCTGGGTGGGACAGTGATAGAAGCCCCAGGCTAGCTAACTGCGAGGATGTGGCTTTTCTTGTTGATCACCTTTAAACAACTCCGCGTTATGTGTCTGTTGAATTCTGCCTTGATTCTAGTAAGGTGTACAGAAAGCTTTAAAACCCCCAAATCTCTTGGGCTTCACCTCTGACTCTGGTCGTTCCTTGGTGGCCTATATATGTGTAGAAATGCCAATGTTATAAGATTCGTGTGGTGATTAAATCACACCTCTAATTTTTAAATGAAGTTTCATTTCGGTTCTGCAGAACGTTAGTATAGAATCTTGCTTTTTAGCAGTGTAAATTCTTTATTCCAATGAACCTCTTGGCAATCCTAGAATATAAAAAAAAAACATGAAAATGGAGTTGTGTGGATGAAGTATAGATAGCTAGTAGAGTTGGGGAATTCTAGGGATATGTGAATCATTGAACAATCTGAGAGACAGAAAGAGGGCAGATCCAGATGGGAGGGAAGGTGGAGACGAACTGAGGAACTGGGAAGAGCAGAAGGAGGGGAAACCATAATCAGGGTATATTATATGAAAAAAAGTCTATTTCCAACAAACGAGAAACAAAAGAAAGGAAATTTCTGCTCTCGAACTTGTCAGGTTTCAGTCTATTTAAATATATTCTAAGTGTTCTTCTACATCTTCCTGGCCTTTCCTTAACCATAAATACTGTGTAACTTTTTCTATTATTTTTTGGAATCAAAAGGAAATGCCTCTAGGCCATCAATAGTAATGTGTTGAAATTAACATTTTCTTCTAAGCCAACTCGTGGAGTAGGCGTGGGAGTAATTGGAGTCATTGAGTGCAATTTCCTAAAACCTGCCTACAACAAACAAGACTTTGAGTACACCAAGGAGTACCGGTGAGTCACTCTCAACCTGAGACCTTTCAGCTCAGTTGCGCAGATACCGTTCTGCTCTCGGAAGTTTCCAAAGCCCCACTAAAAGCCAGCCAGCCAGGTTAACTGAGAAGGACTTCCAGTGCATTTTCCAGGAATAGAGACGAGTTTGTGCCTTTTCACTGTACCTTTAGAAATTACAGAACATAGGAGTATATTGATAAGATATTTCTGATAAAATGACTGGCCTTGTCTTTTCATCCTGAAGCAAATGAATCTAAAGTTATGGAGCACACTTTGGGGAGAGAAATCACAGTTGGCCCCATGAGCTTTCTTGAAGCTAGTGAACATGTTTGGAAATGTTAGAACAACAAGGAAGAGATATGTGCTCTCCTGGAAGCATCTTGGGAAGTTCCATAGCTCAGAATCAGAAAGGAACTTGACAGTGAGGTTAATCCAATAGGAGTTGTTAAAATCGGGTTGAAAGTAGGTTTGGGATTTAGGATACAGGTCAGTAATAGAACGCTAGCTTAGCACACATGAGACCCTAGATTACCTCTGTTACCTCTCATGTGTTAGGTAAAGGACATAGGATGAAGAATTAGAATCCTTGATTGTTGTGAACAAATGTGCTGTATGAAAATATGAAACCTAAATACACATAAAATAATCAGTGTGTGTGTGCAAGATGAGAAAAAACCTTTATTTTATTTTTTGTTTTTTGAGGCAGGGTTTCTCTGTGTAACCCTGGCTATCCTGGGACTCGCTCTGTAGACCAGGCTGGCCTCGAACTCACAGAGATCCACCTGCCTCTGCCTCCTGAGTGCTGGGATTAAAGGTGCGCACCACCTGCCTGGCTGAGGAGAACTTAAATATGACTAAAGAAAATCAAGGAAAGCTTCACAAAACAGATTATATTTTAGCTTAAACTTAAAGGAAAAGTTGATGGTTTCTAGGTAAACTAAAGAGAAGTGTATTCTAAGTGGTTCTCAACCTTCCTGATACTGTGACCCTTTAATACAGTTCTCATGTTGTGGTGATCGATCCCCCAACCATAAAATTATTTCGTTGCTACTTCAGAACTGTAATTTTGCTACTGTGATGAATTGTAATGTAAATATATTTGGAGACAGCTTGTCAAAGAGGTCATGACCTCAGGTTGAGAACCACTGTTCTAAGCAGAGTATAGGTAATGGCACAGAAAGGTAAAGAGTGTTCTTAGAATATGAGGGAAGAGAAAATGTAAGAACATTGGGTATCATTCTATTTAAATTCTCAGCAGTATTTTTTTTCTAAGAGTGGGAGGAAAAATCATTTCTCAGAACTGTTTTTTTGTGCTCTAAGCTACAACAGAATTAATTAAATGTTCCTTTATTTATATGAGACCATAAGAACTTTAGATGCAGGGTTTGACAAAGAGACAGTGATTTGAATGGCAGTCCTAAATTCATTTCGGCGCAATGGGGTTTTCCTCACTCAGGCTTATTAGTGGGTATGGCAACGGTGTGCCCTGGATCCAAATAAATCAGTCATTTAAATGTGAGTCTGACCCATAATGAAGCCCTTTGACCAAGACTTATCTCCTGACTGTGGAAGTTTAGAAATAACATCGGCTTAATGGAACAAAATATTCATTCTTTTGAGTGAAAGTGATAAATTTATGATAATTACCTAAATAATACTTGTGAAATCCAAATGTTAGATATTAAAATGTTTTAACAGCTTTCCGTATTATTGTTGCCAACATACCACGATAAAAATCTATATTTTTTTCTTTTGGATACATTAGACCTTTGATTTTTTTGATGCCTAGTTTTGGTGTGAATTTGAGGAAATTGTAGAGAGAATTTGAGGAGATTGTAGAGAGTTCAAATAAAGGCATTCTATAAACATGTAGGATTTCTGCTTAAGTAATTTAATAGTTACTGTGTAGTTATTTTATGAAAAACAGAATAACAATACTAACATACATAGTCTTGTGCATAATAAATTTGCTAATTATTACCTAGTTCAGGCATCATTGACATCTCTTTTTAAATTAGTTACTTTTGTTTTATGTATATGGGTCATTTTCCTGCATGTGTATATGTGTACCACATGTGTGCCTGCTGCTGGGGCATGGCAGAAGGACATCAGATCCCCTGAAAGTGAAGTTACAGACCGTTGTGAGCTGCTGTGTGGGTGCTGAGAACTGAACCTGGGTCCCCCAAGAGCAGCAACTGCACTTAACCACTGATTCATCTCTCTAGCCCCACTTTCTTTTTAAAGACAAGATCTCATAGCGTTCATGCTCGCCTCAAACTCACTATGTAGCTGAAGGTAGGTTTGAATTCTTGTACTCCCTGACTACATCTCACAAGTGCTATGATGATAAGAATGAATCGGCATGCCCTATGTCCTTCTGCTGGGGACTGAAGCCAGGTACTTGCGTATGTGAGCACAAACTCTACTACTGTGCTATGTCCCCAGCCCTGTTGCCCTTTATGTAAACTTCATACAAAGTGAGAGAGATTTTAGATAAAAAACATGCGAATTTGAAACCAGATATGGGGGCATAGACCACTAATCCCAGGGAGGGGCTATGATAATGGGACTGTGAATTCATGGCCAGCCTGGGCTACATAGCAAGGCCCTGCATTCCCCTTGTCCCTCTAAAAAGGTGGGAATTTGAAGAAGGATTAGAGACCATTGTTAGCTGGCACAATTCCTCCTGTGACTATTACAAATGCAAATGTACAGATGAGAAAAGTTACAGGCTATCACACTACTAGAATAGCTACAAAGAAATAACCTGTACTACATCACTTTGAGCAAGTGGGATATTAGATTTTAGCTATAAATAGCATGGGCTTAAATAATTTTTAGAGTCAACTTCATCTTAAAAAAATGCAACCAAAGCATATTAACGGAGCAAGCCATGAACACATAAGACATAGACTAGGTTTTGTAGAATCGTCCAAAAAAATTTCAGAACAGAGTTGATTACCTTAAGGGCTTTGCATTCTATTTGTAATAATAGATTATCTCACACATTGAAAACAACTAAATAGCAGTAAAATGGCTCATAGACCTCTTTGCTTCTATACAGGTAAAATGCTCTGATGGGGCAGATAAGGAAAGTTTTAGGTACATGATACAACTTAAGATATACCTTAAATGGATCTCTGAGTTTGAGGTCAGCCTCATTTACAGAGTGAGTTCCAGGACAGTCAAGACTACAGAGAGAAATCCTGTCTCGAAAAAAGCAAACAAATGAAAGAGATATTCCTTAAAATAGCTGTGGAGAGTTGGCTTTGTGGTTAAGAGCACTGGCTGCTCTTCCAAATGACCCAGAATCAATTCCCAGCACCCACATGATGGCTCACAACTGTTTGTAACTCCAGCTCCTGGGGATACAACAGCTACTTCTGGTGTCTAGGGACACAAGGCACACATGTGGTATACAGACATGCGTGCAGAGAAAACAGCCACACGTGTAAATAAATAATGAACAAATTAAAAGGATACAGGATGTAGAAAAGGAAGGGAATTCTGGTACCCAGTTGTGGCAGGAGCTACTGCTGTGTTGACAGGAACTCCGAAGGGGAAATGGAGATAAGGTGATGTACTAAAGTGAAGAAAATCGAACAAAATGATAATGTAGGACCAGATCCTAAAGCCAAGATTGGCAAATATTTTCTGAGAAGGCCAGAGAGATCTATTTGGGCCTTTCTAGGCCACGCAGTCTCTTATCCAACTTAATTCTGTCATAGTATGAAAGTGTATATTGACAGTAAGTAAAGGCGCGAATATTGTGCCAGTACAATTTTGTTCACAAAACAGGCAGTGAGGAGGATTTACCTTCCAGGCTATAGTTGGCACACCTGTTTCTTAGAACCCCTATATCTGAACTGTGTGCCAAGTTATATCTAATGGATTCAGAGGAATCAGGCAATAATTTACATTTTAGGGAAGAACAGTGGTACTCAACTTCTGTCTACAAACAGCAGAAAGCATCTTCTATTGTAACAACTTACCATAAATTTAGTGGCTTAATACAACACTAATTGACTGTATTAGAGTTCTCTAGGTTAGACGTCTGACTCAGATCTCACTGGGCTAAAATCAAGGTGTTGGCAGGCTGTCTTCCTTTCTGGAGGCTCTAGGGGAGAATCTGATTCCTTTTCTTTTCCAACTTTCGAGGCTGCCAGCATTCCCTGGCCCAAGGCCCTCTTCTCCAACTTCAAAGTCAGCAGTGATGAGTTGCATCCTCCTCACATTGCATCATTCCAGTGAACTTGCTTTCAGAATCATATTGCCTCCTCTGATTCTGATTCCTCTGCCTCACTCTTCCACACTTGAAGGCCTGTGGTTGACACTGGATCATTTAGAATACTTTTCCTACTTTAAGGTCAGCCCATGAGTAACAGTTTCTCTTTTATTGTGTGTAACCTATGATCTTCACAGATTTTAGGGATTGGGACCTAGACATCTTTGAAAGACTATTATTCTATTTGTCAGTCTGTTCTCTGAGGCTCCAAGATTTATTTCTCACATTCAAAAAGTGATGGCCCTATCCCATCCCAACATCATCAAAAGTTCCAGAGTCGAAAGTCTTAGCTAAATGTCATCAGCTCAAAAGTCCCATATTTCATATCTAAATCACATTTTTCTGAGTCTGGTGTACATGGGTATAATATTCTTCTCTATCTGTGGTACACACACACACACACACACACACACACACACACACATTTTACTGCTGAAATATAATAGCAGAAGATGCACAGGATACCAATTATCTAAAAGTTCTGTATCTAGTGAGTTTAAACTGAGAAAAAGAGTTACAGGTACCAAGAAATTTCATAAGTCCATCTAGGCAAATTCCAATAAATACCAAAGACCAGCCATGCTTTTCTTGGGCTTACAACACTGCTCCCCTATCACTGAAGCTCTGCCTTCTGGGCTATGGTTCAACTCTCTAAATTATATATATTTGGTTTTTCGACACAGGGTTTCTCTGTGTAGTTTTGCATATTTTCCTGGAACTCACTTGGTAGCCCAGGCTGGCCTCGAACTCACAGAGATCCGCCTGGCTCTGCCTCCCGAGTGCTGGGATTAAAGGCGTGCACCACCACTACCCAGCAAGACTAGTATATTTTTACAGCAGAGTAGTTTCATCAATTTTATCTTCACTGGGGTCTTTTTAGTTATTTATTTTTATGGTGATAATATAACTGCATCATTTTCCCCTTCCCTTTCCTCTCTCCAAACCCTCCCATATACCCCTCCTTGCTCTCTTTCAAATTCATGGCTTCTTTTTTTCAGTAGTCATTGTGATATACACATGTGTATGCATATATACATAAATAGTCCTAATTACAGCTTCCTCAATCTGTATAATATTGACAATACATATACATTTTTCAAAGGTCAGTAGGATTCTTTCTTTATATATCCCCCCTATCCCATTAATCGTAGCTGGAAGTGTTTGTGCTCCTGCCATTTCCAAACCTTGTAGGTCTTCCATGGATGTGATGATTATTCATTCCGTTGAACAAGAGGCTCTTGACTGATCTTCCCTAGACAATCTTATTTCTCTTCTTGGCCTCAACTGAGATGGTTGTGAAGGTCTATGAGCCACATGCTTAGTATTCCCAAATAGCCTTATATGTGACTGAATATTTTGACCTTTTGATCTGACTGAGATACTAGCTAATGATTGTCCAACCCTACTCTTCATTCAGAGAGCTCACAGTGCTAGCAATGAATCTGTACATTTTAATATCTTTTATGATTTTGACTGACTGAGAACATTCCAGACTGTCAAATTCTGGTTCCTTTTCCATTATCAGTTCTTGTCATTTATCTTTTCTTTCGTGCGTTTTACATGATCATCCAGAGAACACAGCTTCAGCAGTTTATCTGGAGAGCTCCTCAGCCAAATGTACAAGTTCATCCTTTACAAGCTGTGCTTTCCGTGGATCTGCAGGACATGTTTCTGCTAAGCTTTCTGGGACTATGTAGCTAGGATTATATTTCAGATTTTCCAGTAATGTGTTGGCTCATTTCCCCTGATCCTTGATTAGTAGTGTCTTTAACATCTGTATTTCTAACTCTGCTTACAGTGATTTAGGCATTCTTTAAGACGATCTTTAGCTTCTTCTCTACCATGCTTCTCCACTTCCTTCTGAGCCCTCACCAGTTTAGTTAACATCTGTATATCTGTTCACAGTCTGCGCAGTGCAGTTTAGACTCTGGCATGTTTCTCAAACCTTTGCCAAATTCCTTTATTTTCCTTTTATTCTGTTTTTAGACAGGGTCTTGTGTAGCCTCAAGATCACTGTATAGCCAAAGCTGACCTTGAACTCCTGATCCTCGAAATGTCCCAGGTTGCCAAATTTCATTTCCAACTTTCTAATTTTTAGAGTTTTTTATAGTAGTACTCAGTTTATAGGCACCACAATCTGCCATATTGTTTTATATTGAATTTTTAAAAATATTTATTTGTGTGTATGTACGCACACATGTGAGCATATGCAGGCTCAGGACATGAAGCCTGATGATAAGCTTTACCCACTGAACCATCTTGGGTGACCTGTATTCTTTGTCACATTATATTGCATCATATATTTATGAATTTGGGTTGAATCCATTTATATTTAAAGTAATCATTGGTAAGGGAAGATTTCTGTCATTTGGCAATACGTTTTATAGCCTCTCATTTCCTACATTGCTGTGTTTTATGTTTAGGTGATGTTTTATAGTAGAATGTTTAAATTCTTTTCTTGTTTCCTTTTATATACATTATCTAGCTATTTTCCATGTGGTTATCGCAGAGACTACATTTAAGATGCCTCAGTCTCTCTTTTCAAATTAGACCTCTACAGTGCCTGTGGTGGACCCCTGGTGGGGCCTCACACGTCCTCCAGGCTTTGTTTCTAACTCTTCAATTTTCTTTCTTATTGTTCCTCAATTTCAGGAATTTAAGTTTCCAGATCTTTCTGTCTGTCCTGCTTTTGGATCCATCAAGTGAATTGTCTGTTTTAGCTATTCTACTCCGTTCTACATTTTATTTCAGTTCTTTTTTTTTTTTTCAGGTTTTCTGTCTCCTTGTTTTCTGTCTCCTCTTTGAACTTGACTTCCCTCGCCCTTCCTTGGGTTTCTTGAGCGTCTTTAACCCAGCACTTTTTCTGAGACAGTTTCTTTGGATTTCATTTTTCTTTGATCATACCATATTTTTGTGTTTCTTTGTCGGCACTGTGAGTTTTATAATACAATAATTCTGGAAATGAGATTTCCCCCTTTCGTAGGATTTGCTACTACAGAACCTGTATTTTCCTTTGGAAATTCATAGTGACTTTCTAATTTTTTATATGTGCATATATGTGTGGTTATGTGTATATATGTATGCATATGTTTATGTATTTATGTATGTGCTCATGCTTTCGAATACCTTCATTTTAAACATCTGGATCCCTAAACAGAAAAAATATGAAGAGGTGAAAATAAAGTTCCATCACTTTGAATGTCCTGGACATCATTTCGGCTAGAGGAGAAACTTATAATCATGGAGAATATAACAGAAAAAGCCACTTGCCTGTTCTGTGCTCAAAAATAGTAGCAATGAGAAGGATAGTAACCTTTTTTTCTATCATGGTTCTTATAAGTGGCTTATGGAACACCTGCATGATTCTCTGTCATGGCACTAGAGGTGGAGAATGTACAGCTATTACTCTGCTAAGAACAGAAATGGACCAACATTAACCACAATTTGCCATCTAAGTGTTCTGAAATACTGATCGTTAAATGTTAACTGGATTAGATTCAGGCTCCTATAGCAGCTGTGCAGTAAAATGTCAAAGGAACATTTTCCCTGTTAGTCCTATTTCTCTGCCATCAGGCAGGTTCTGCCAGTGCAGTTGTTGCCTAGGCAAGGAGACCGATTCCACTTGTCTCCTACTTATCCTCCCAGGAGCCCATCAAATTTTCTCTATCAAGTAGACCGTGAAGAGGGAACAAAGCATATAGCTCTGTGTATGGCTGGAGGGAAGGCTATTAACAGAGAGGTGGGAGCCCTGATAGTAGGAGAGGGATGGGTTAATACAGGAACTTGTCTATGATTATTTTAATCTCGTGTGTATAGTGAAAATCTGATTTAAAACGAGTAAGGTGGCAGGAAGGAAAAGGTATACTGAAGAAGAAATCTGCAAAAACACCCAATAATGATCCCGAGGGTGAAGAGAGGTTTAAAATCTCTCAAGTTTGTAGTGGTCCAGGTATGTGTACATTTGCATTAAATTGCAATCCTGGGGGATAAAATTTAATAGGAATTATTCATTAGACAAGAAAGCTAACTCAGATTACACTTCTAATAGCAGTGTTGTAGACAAATGTTGAAGAGACATTTTCCATGTTAGTGCTGTGCTGCTATGATTAGGGTTTGGATGCAGAGGAACTAGAAAGATAGGTGAAGCTAATATTTGATTGATTTTTTTGATAAGGTTTTATGTATGAGCCTCTAATTTTCTATTTGATCCTGAATGATGTTCCTATCATCATCTGAAAATTTAATAATTCATCAGTATTTATCTCTGTCCTCATTCTATCATAGTCTCTAATGACAACAACATACTCATTCTATAAGCCTTAAAAAGAATCTAGACCATTCTACTTTTTTGGATCTTACAAACCATCTTAACTTCACAGCCAAAGTGACTATCATTATGATGTTAATATTATGGTATGTTTTTTCTGTTACAGTTTTCATTATGATTTTATTATATGACTTTTCAAAGGCAGTCGATGCCTATATTAGTTTTTTAAGTTGTTGGTATGCAAAATTATGATGACTATTCTAAATTGCTGGATTCTGTTCAACAGGAGCTTCTGACAGATAAAAATTATTCAAGTGCTGAACCTTGACATACTCTTTGCATTTTCTTTCAGGTTGATAATAAGTACTCTTGCCCAGAAACTCAATGCTTATTGGAAGGAAAAAACATCTCAAGAGAATTTTGAGAACTTACCTATATCCAGGCCAGTACCATAAGTAATAAAATGTAGAATGTGGAAACATTAAGGGTAATGTCCTTCCATCAAATGGAAGAAGCAAGGATAAAATAATGTTTTTCACATCAGGAAGGTTAGTTATCTGGCAATAAGAAAGCACAGGTACTAATTACATCATTTTACCTCTTGATTCTGTTTTAAGACTTCCATGGTTTGGGTCATAAATGTGAAGGATTTAATGCTGGTGGTTTAGGAGAGACTAATATAGTGGGCATTTAAATCAAACACTCCTCAGTGGAAAGTCTAGACCGGCTTCTTGATAGTTGTGTGCACTTTGGTAAGTGAGTCACTTTGCCTTTTTGTATTGAATTAGGCTCCATGGTTTTAGAGCAGTACATGGCACAGAGTGTATGTTCAGAGTTAACGAACTTGCTTCCTCTTTATTCTTGCTAAATTTTATTGGGACTAAGCTGATATTTTAGAGCAGAAATAGAGAACAAAACAGAAAAAGTAGAGGTAGGTGAGGAGAAAATGATCAGGACGGAAGGCAGGCTGCATAACAGCATCCACACAGTTAGTTATAACATCACCAAGCTAAATTTTAAAGTGTTAGAGATTACACTGCCCCTCTCATATGAAGGGAGGCTTCTCCTTTTTTAAATAGAAACTGCTAGATCAATGTATGGTACAAAATTTTTGTTTCAAATGCAATCTGAATGCTGTGTGTATATTTCTACATTATTCTAAAGATCTCAGCTCGTATCAGTTCTCCATTTTTGCCAAAAATTTGAATTAAGATGAGATGTCATTTTGCCTTTCAAATTAGCAATAATTAATGTAGTACAACAGATGTTCATATATTGCTAGTACATGCAAGATTTAGCAGCAGAATTTTTCCTTTTTAAAATTATTATATTTATTTATTTTCCATCCAGACAGCAGCTTCCCCTCCCTCCTCTCTCCCACCTCCCCTTCGCCCCCCACCTCAATCCACTCCTGTTGCTGTTCAGAAAGGGGCAGGCCTCCCATGGGTATCCACAAAGCATAGCATATTAAGTTGCAGTTAGACTAAGCACCTCCCTTTGCATTAAATTAAGACTGGGCAAGGCAATCAGTATGAGGAGTAGGTTCCCAAGACCCAGCCAAAGCATTAGGGACAGGCCATGCTCCCATTGTTAGGAGTCCCAAAAGTAGAACAGGCTATGCAACTGTCGAATACATGTAGAGGGCCTAGGGCAGGCCCATGCAGGCTCCCTGGTTGTTGACTCAAACTCTGTGAGTTCCTATGAGCCAGGTTAGTTGTTTATGTAGGTTTTCTTGTGATGTCCTTGACCCCTCTGGGTCCTATAATCCTTCCTCCCTCTTTTCAGGATTCCCAAGCTTGGCCTAATGTTTGGCTGTGGGTCTTTGCATGTTTCCATCAGTTACTGGATGAGGGCTCTCTGATGACAATTGGGCTAGTCATCAATCTGATTACAGATGGCCAGTTCAGGCTGTGTATCCACTGTTGCTAGGAGTCTTAGCTGGGGTCATCCTTGTAGAGTCCTGGGAGTTTTCTTGCACCAGGTTTCTACCTGACCCCGAAATGCCCCCCTTTTCCAGTCATCTCTTTCAGTCCTCTCCCCCATACACACCCAAACAAAATCCCTCAAGTTCCCATCCCCACCTGCCCCCAGCTCACCCAGGAGATCTCCTCTAATTTCCCCTTCTCAGAGAGTTCCATGTGTCCACACTTGGGCCCTCCTTGTTACTCAGCCTCTCTGGGTCTGTGGATTGTATCATGGTTCTTTTATTTTACAGCTAATATCCACTTATGAGTTAGTACATACCAGGATGATTTTTTTTAATTCCATCCATTTGCCTTCAAATTTCCTGATGTCGTTTTTTTAACAGCTGAGTAATACTCCATTGTAAAAATGTACCACATTTTCTTTATCCATTCTTCATTTGTGGGGCATCTAGGTTGTTTCTAGGTTCTGGCTATTACAAATAATGCTGCTGTGAAGATAGTTGAGCAAGTGTCTCTATGGCACAATTGAGCATCCTTTGGGTATATGCCCAAGAGTGGTATAGCTGGATCTTGAGGTAGATCGATTCCCAATTTTCTGAGAAACTGCCTTATTGATTTACAAAGTGGCTGTACAAGTTTATACTCCCACCAGGAATGGAGGAGTGTTCCCTTACTCTACATTCTCTCCAGCATAAGCTGCCATTTGTGTTTTTGATCTTTGCCATTGTGATGGGTATAACATGAAATCTCAAAGTAGTTTTGATTTGCATTTCCCTGATGGCTAAGGATGTTGAATATTTCTTTAAGTGTTTCTCTAGCAGCAGAATTTTAATAATAGAGATTATTTATTGAGTATTTACTTAAATTCCAGAATTGTTCTTAGTTCCTTTCATGTAATAATTTATTTAACAATCCACAAAACTCTCAGTATACAGCTATTTTTACTTCGCAGATATAAAGCTCAGTACACAAAGAACATATATCCTTTACACAAGATTAGACAAGCAGAACACAGTAGAGCTAAGGTTCAAATCAAGCAACCAGGTCCCTGAAGCCACACTCTTCTGGAGGGATGTAACAAGGGCAATAGAGTATAGCTCCTTTAATTTCCTATTTTCTACAAACAGAAGCTCTAAAGCCCTTCTTTCTGCCTGGGTTGAAGGATCCACCGTGGTCTGTTTGTAGCTGCTGCCTCTTAGTGTCCTCAAGAATAATACAAGCCTCTTCCTGCAAGACATTCTTCTGTGCAAATATATCTAAAACCAAAGCTAACATGACCTTTCCTCTCCTCTTCCACTTCTGCTGAAACTGCCTTCTAAGGACTCTGGCTCTGTAGCTGGGTGGAAATAGCAGACAGCAGAGGTCAGGCCTGACCTTAGAGATTCAAGGTTGCAAGTCTGGAGCAACTTACAGCAATGGGGAGGTCCAAAAGTTTGAGAAAACTTGACTGAATGGATTTGTTTAAAAAGAGGACATTGTATTTGAGTGGCACAAGTACCTTTTATTTCCGTCTTTGTATATTTCTCTTTTCTCTAATTTTCCATAATGGGATGGTGTTACTTTATAACTAGTAATAAACAAGCTGGATTTAAAACAGTGAAAAATTACTGACAGAAGTCATAAAAGAACCATACCACTTTATTGAATAGTCCAGTAGAAGAACAGTAAAATACAACATAACACAAAACTCCCCCTGGTGGTAAAATGGGCCAGAGGTGCCTGTCTAACTCCTGTGTCTTTTCATCAGCCTTTGTTCTCTCCAGTACAACTTTTCACACTCTTTATACCTTCTGTTGCATATGTGCTACTTCTTTCCACAGGGAAATGAACTCACTTTAATACACAGTGATTGGGTTACACGCTTCTGGAATTGATGAGGGTGGATATGCATTTGAAGAGTTCAACTGTGGATGAGTTTATCTTCATAATTTCAACCAATTGTTGGAGCCATCATTTCTAGTTAGGAAGTTTCATCACATTATATTGCCTTTTATGATGGATGTAGGGAATATCAACATAGTAGTATGATTGCAGCATTGTAAATACATGGTTTGGATGCGGTGCTGGAGCTCAAACTTAGAGCCTTGTGCATGCTTGGCAAAGCTGTTCGCTGAACTACATCCCTAAACCCCAAGAACTGTTTTTGAAAGGAAAAAGAGAAATCAGAAGCGTGCAGGGAAGTGGGGGACAGATTTTGATGACAGTGAAAAAATCAGAAGCGTGCAGGGAAGTAGAGGAGAGATTTTGATGACAGTGCTTCTGTGCCTCCTATAAATACATTTAAAATTTGTTCAGTGATTGGATAAGGAAATAAAACAATTTGATGGGTTTTATTTCTTTATAGCAATGTATGATACACATACTTTTCTCAAGTTAATAAATCTCAGTGGTAAAATTATCCCATTATTTTCTCTAAAAAAGGATTCCAGAATAAATATTATTAACCTCAAGAGATAATGGCAGATTAATATGTTTTATATCCACATCTGGAATAGTTATCTATGTCGCTCAAAATATACACATTTCAGACATTGAGATTGTAAGATTTCTAGCCTATTTTCCACATAAATTTTTTGTTTTCATTTTTAGGACATACCTTTTCAGTGTAGGACAAAGCACATAGCTAGGATCTGTACAATAACATTTCTGGTTTTCCTCACCCAGGAAGATTCCTGACCAGACATGGGTACAGTGTGATGAATGCCTGAAGTGGAGAAAACTTCCTGGAAAGGTGGATCCATCCACATTACCTGCAAGATGGTTTTGTTACTATAATCCCCATCCAAAATACAGGTAAGGTCCTAGGACTCATTATTCTTTCCCTAACTCCTCATTTGTCCTCGTGTTTCACAGAACCACTTCAGATCAGACTTACCTTCTGATAGCCTGGCATGCAAGCCCCTTCCTGACTGGCCCCATCTTAACCAGCATCTAACCTTATTTTCACTGTACTTGACCAAGGCCCTTCAAGGCACTGCTCCCTACATATTCCATGCTTATTCTCTCCTCTGTGACTTTGTTAGTGTTGTCTTTTTTGATTGAAGTGACTTTCTGTATCCCATGTTCCTATTCAAATCATAGCAGTCTCAGGAGCTGAACTCTTTGGTAACAACGTTTCCTCTCGATAGCAATTTTCAATGATTTTACTCTGACACCCCCACCCCCCCGCACGCGCGTGCACACCGCAGCATTTAATTCTTGACTTTTGTTCATATGCCATTTTTTATTTGGGGGCATTTTTGTGGTGTTCAGTTTGTTTAATTCTACAAGAGCTTTGAAATTCTTTAAGACTGAGTCCCTCACAGTCCCCACGGAGTCAATAGCCTTCCTATGTCTCCTCTGTAGACTCAACGTCAGTGGGCTCTGTTGCACATTCACTACTGTTTGTTGGCTTGTTTGTGTTCTAATGCACCGTATGTTCCTTATAGTGCCCACATCTACACAGTGCCTGACATTACTCAGTAGCTACGTTATGTTCCTAGTAAGTCAGTCTGCTTCAATCCAGCTGTGATCTTTTACATAGTCTTCCTTTTGCTGACCACATGCTAGGAAAAGAAGGTAATCCAACAGAGTGTGCTTTTCAGGGAGAATGTCCAAAGTGGAAGAAAAGACATGAACGAAGGCTAGGTCTGTCATTTGTAAGCGTCCCTCATAGTCTCCCCATGTGCCTAAGCACCTTTCTGTGGAAAGGAAATGAGACCGTGTGGTCAGGTTATGAAACTGACTACTAGAAGTTTCTATGTTAAGGTTTTCCTCTTTTGAATATGTTATCTTTCATCTGCTCACACTTAGGCCAGGAGAGACCCTTCTAAGCCACTTTATTCCCTTGCAAAATGAATATAATGCAATTTCCAATTGATACTCATTTTTTGTTTGTCATTTTCTTAGGAACACTTTTGGCCACCAAATAAATTTGTTTGTGCTTTTGGTTTTTTTCTCCTGAGATTCCCTTCTCAGTGCTATACATATAGCTAGCTTTTGTAGTGTGAATGGGATCCAAACTGTATACTCTTACCCACTTGTTAAGCTGCTCTATCATTAAGCTGCCCTTAAGGGAAGTAAAGAGTAAAAGCTAGGACCATGCTTTGCTTCTGAAAGATGATTTCCTCTCTGCGCTACAGGAGATGCTCTGTTCCAGAAGAACAAGAACGCATGGAAGACTTATACCTGAGCAAGGCTAAGCAACAGTTGAGTATATGTGAGATGATGCTCTACAGTATCCCAGAGTGGAGGAATCGCTCTCCCTGACATAAGACAAGGGATTTGAGAAGGGAGATGTCTTTGGAGGGCTCTGTGCTTGCTCCTCCTACCTGTCACATAATCCAGAATGCCTCGACTTGTCGTTGTCTCCTCGTTCATTCTCCTCTCCGCTCCTCATACACACACACACACACCATCACTCACACACACACACCATCACACACATACCATCACACACGTGAGCGCACACACACCATCACACACACCATCACACATGCACACATACACATACCACCATCACACACACAATCACACACACACCATCATACACGCACACACACTATCACACACGCACACATATACACACACCATCACACACAGACACCATCACACATGCACCATCACATGCACACACATGCACCATTACACACACATGCACACACATGCACCATCACACACACATGCATACACACACACACACACACACACACACACACACAGAATGAGAATGAGAATTTGAAATCTTTCCAGTAGCATAATTCAGGAATATAGCCCTAGTTTCTCAGTGAACTTCATGAATGAACTAAATAGCACGTAATTTTGAGACAGTCTCAGTACATAGCGTAGACTGACCTGTAGCTCACTCTGTAGACCAGGCTTGCTTTGAGCTTGCAATCCTCCGACATTGGCCTCCAGAATCTAAATAGCCCTTTTATCTTCTAGAGATGAAACTGTTGAGAAGAAGCAGAAGCCTGTGGAAGGTGACAAGCACCAGGTGAGAGACAGGTCCACCTCTTCCTCTTCTCACACCGTTTTCCTCCACACAGGATTTAGGTTGAAGGACACTGCGGAGCATTGCTGAGGGTTTCTTCTCGTGCTCTTTTCTCTGGATTGGATCTTTGGACTTGGTGTTGATCTTCTGTTGTTGACGTTCAGATCACTCAACAGAAGAGTCATGTCATTTATTTTCCAGATTTGGACTCGTACTGATTCTGGGCAGTGGGAATGACACATTTGGTATCACATAACACTTGTGTGCCATCTTCATAAGCTGCTCCTCTTGAGTGTCTGGTTTTCCTGTCTCCTTTCTTTTGGGATTCAGGGATCATTCCTTCCTCTTTTCTCTTGGGAAGAAGGGTTGGTTCTTTGTGCCTCCCCGCGCCCCCCCCCCTCATCCCTGCTTTCAGGCTGGCTGGCTTTATAAAGACTCTGCTGTTTTGAATTTTCAGGAGCACTGTCTCTCGGACATGGTTGCCCAGCTCCGGACGCTGAAGGGTGCAATAAGGTTGGCCGTCCTTTCAGGGACACTCCTTTCCTGACAGCCACCATAGCACCCATATATCTCTCCCACCCCTCCTTGCCTCTCTGCATGATTTCCCTCTTGACCCTATTTCCCAGAGATCTGCTAGTCGCATGTTAGATTCACTTCCTTACCCAGTCGGGCAGGTCAGACTAGTGAGGAGAGAGGCAGTTAAATACTAACGCTTCTTCACGTACCCTGCTCAAACTGAGGCTTATGAGCAATCACGTTTCATATCCTATGTCTGTACTGAGATTGGGATTTCCAGGACTGCCCTGTCCTCATTCAGTTGGCCTTCCCTTTATTCTTTCACCCTAATTATTCGTATTTTCTTCATATGCTGGCTCCTACCAGATCCCAGGTGCATGTCTCTGTTGTGTGCACTGTGAACATGTGGTAGCCTCTGGCATGTGTCTCTCCTAAACCAGCAGATACTTGCTGCAATGCTTTTCCTTTCCACCCATATTTTCAACACAGAGCTCGAAAGGATGAAAGCCCAGCCTTCACCTGTGTCGCAAGAGCGCAGTAGACCGCGACTGGGGCCTGGGTTTGTGTTGTGGGTGGGCTAGGTCAAGTAACCAATACAAGAGTTGGGAGCAGTCTGGTGGTGTCTAGCTGATAAGGTTAGTGACTGACTGTGTTTGGGTTCAGTGTTCCAGTGTACATTACGGTGCACTGTTCGTTCTGTTTAGGAAACAGTTTATGTTGATTTGGCCAAGCATTCTTTCCTAGCATCAGAAGAATTGACACAGCTTTTCGTATTTTGTTCAGACTTGGGATTTTTATGAACTATTTCTTTTTTGCTAGGTCCTCAGCCATCCACTAAAGACTCCCACTACACAAGATATGGGTGAACGAACTGACAAGACGATTGGATATGAGCAAATCAATAGCCCTAGCCTGCTTTCATCGGGTGGGGAAGAAAACAGATCACCTCTTCAACTTAAGTCTCTGGATTCCAGTGTTTTTCAGTTTTCCAGGTACCTAACACCATCATTTGTTTTCAATAATAAGCCTCAGAATCTGTTTTCCAGTAGATTAATTTGATATATTATATATACTATCTATTATATATAATATATACATAATGTATGTGTGTGCATGTATTGGCTGACCTTACACTCACAAAGAGATCCACCTCCATCTGCCTTCTTAGTGCTAATATTAAAAGTGTATACCACCATGCCAGGTAAGTTGTTTTTCTTAACACATGAAGTTCACTCATGAAAATATAGTTTGGGACTGATAGAACTGTGTCTTGCACACACCTACTAGTTTTTACTTCTTAGAAGTAAAAACTATTTTTTTGAAGTGATCACTGTCTTGTGTTATCTACTGAAGTCTTCATATTAACTCTTTAAAAAGTATAAAGTGCTATATAGAATGTGTATATATCTATGAAAGTACATATATATATGAAAAGTATAAGGTAATGCTATATAGAAAATTGTCTCTATACATAAATTTATGAATGTTAAATTTACAGAAGTTTCACAGTCCTATGATATGCTGGCCCTGTGTAAAATTAACTAGTGTCTCTAATGATCATATATTGTTTCCTACAAAAAATCCATCACTGAAAGTTTGTTCTTGTATAATCTCAGCACCCAGGAGGCAGAGGCTCCTGTGTGTTTGTGACCAGCCTTGTCTACATAGTGAATTCCACTCCAGCCAGGTTTACACAGTGAGATCCTGTCTGGAAAACAGTTTGTTCTCTGGCTTTACTCACTTCATTTTCTACTGTCTCATCAATGCTTTTAGTCCATAGAATAGGAAGAAGGATAACTATGTATTTCTTAGGCATTAGGCATCTCTGAGGTACCAAAAGATACAAGAGCCCCCACATCGCCACTAGAAATGAAGACAGTACTCCTAATTGGCACCCCTTTCAGTTCTCTTCTTCGCTGTCTTCGTTCTTGTAGGGCAAGCAGTGAATTGCTCTCAAGTAGTAGATATGTCTACAGTCATCATTAATGCCTTTCTTACATAATAGTCATGGATTTCTCGTGCCCTTTTCTTAACACATCATAAGACAGCGGCCATACTATTTCATAAGGTCAGTTCACCTCTTTTCCAAGTCATACAGGTTCTTTGCCTGTTTGTTTCTTAGATAAGTCTTTTGGCCTTATAAACAAAGACTTACACAGGTCTGCGAGTCCCCGGTACTGTGACTGTTCCACAGCGAATCTGTGTAGATAATACAGGAACCTTTAGATCCCCTGAACAGCTGGTGGCTTCAAGAGAAAGTAAACTTTTAGGAGTAAAACTATTGAAAGAAGTAAAAGACAATATATATGAAAGCATTGGAACACTGCCTTGCTTGGAATGTGATCAATACTCAGTAAGAAGTGATTAAATCCAAGTCGGATTGAAAGAGCAATTTAGAAAGTTGAATTTTGTAGCAAGGGGGTAAACACTATAGTCCACCCTGGTCTCTGTAGTTTGATCCTAACTCTGCCCTATTTCTGTCAATAATTTTTCATCATCCATTGCAGGTTTGAAGGGGTGCACAGTAAATAAATTTTGTTTCTGAAGGACATTATTACTTCCTTTTGTGGTCATCTGGCTACTTTTATGCCGTTGTTTTCACATCCTTACACTTAAATGATCACTTTTCTTTTACTGACTATATTTGTTTGGCAACTGTAGTGGTTTAAAGCTACTGCAGGAGGATTACAAACGTTATTTGGGCTATTAGAGTATATATTTTGTGAGTGCAGTACCATACTACATCCATTGGGTGGCATACCTCATCAGCTTTTGTTGGAGATTTTGTATGGGTCTTTGTGGAATACAAGGTTAAGACTCTAGAGGGCAAGTAAAGTGCTTTGAAAATTTTCGTGTAATTCTCATTTGTTGAGAGTAAAACTTTTTCAAGAGCTAAATGATACCTGATGCTGCTAATAACATATCTATGTAAGATTAGCAAATAATAATAATTACATTATTTAAGGCTGCACATATAGGAGCATTCAAGTTGGTCCTGGCACAGTAGCATTTCTAGCTACTTAGGAGACTAAGGCCAAAAGACCAGCAGAGTCCAGGGGTTGGAGACCAGCCTGGATAACATACCAAAATGCTGTTTCAATTTTATTATTATTATTATTAGCAGGTTTTTCATTTAGAAATGGGAAATGGGGATGCTCACAGGTTTAATAAAATATAAAGAGATTCTGATGAAAGAGTATTAATGAAGTAATGAGTTTAACCAAGAGTTACAAAAGCATTCCTTCATTATCAGAAACCTAAAATATAATAAGAGTCTTTGAGTTTTGTAGTCCTGCCCAATAACTATGCAAAATAAAGCCTAGTCTGTCCAGGAAACCTTTAAGAAGTCATTCTGGGATAGGTTAGAAGGGTCCTCCATGAAAGTCATTGGAAATGAATTTATGAGTCCTCCACATCTAACAAGGGGAGATTGGAATTAGAACACAATGAAGAATAGATTCAGCTAGGATGTAAGCTGTCAGTCATAACCTTTTATGGGAAAACAGCTTGTTTCTATAAAGAAAGTAATTTACTTCTGTTCATTCATTCTACATAAATTTGGGTGTTCTGTGAAAGGTAGTCTTTTACAGTAATAAGGGATCCAAGATGATGGAATACTCAGTGTTGTATGTCAACATCTCCAGTGCATACAAATTTCCTTACAAATGGTACAAACTAAGGTTTAAAATAGCCATAAGTGTTATCAGCAAAGGAAAGAATTAGTAATTGTAGTTTATTTATATATTTTGAATAAATTATGCCAAAAGTTGATAAGTTTGTATTTTAAAAGAATTTCTTAAAAGATGCTTCTGTTGCCTAGGAAAACTGGTTTCACCTGGGAGGAGCAAGCCTCTGACTGCTTCATGTACCCCAGTTTTATATTGTAGAAGGTATATTATAGATAAACCCCAAAGGACTGGGTCTCTCTTCTCCCATCCAGTTTCATCTTCCCCAACTTTTAGGGTGGAGGCACTCACAAATATAGGATAGAATAGTTTTTTAATTTTGCCAAACAAATAGACTAGATATTGTAATTGTAACTCTTGCTTGTTAACTTTTCTATTTTATGTAATTTTACCATGTTAAAGCTAAAACCTTCTGCCAGGCAGTGGTGTTGCATGCCTTTAATCCCAGCACTCAGGAGGCAGAGCCAGGTGGATCTCTGTGAGTTCAAGGCCAACCTGGTCTACAGAGCAAGATCCAGGACAGATACCAAAACTACATGAAGAAACTCTGTCTTGAAAACAAACAAACAAACAAACCAAAAACAATTAAAACCTTCCTTTTTGATTAGACAGAAAAGGGGAAGTGCTGTGGGATGTTGTTCTTTATGTTGCGAATATGTGTTGCTCTGATTGGTTGATAAGTAAAACGCTGATTGGCCAGTAGCCAAACAGGAAGTATAGACAGGGCAAGCAGATGAGGAGAATTCTGGGAAGAGGAAGGGCTGAGTCAGGAGGTGCCAGCCAGACACAGAGGAAGCAAGATGACAAGGCAGAACTGAGAAAAGGTACCAAGCCACGTGGCTAAATATAGATAAGAATTATGGGTTAATTTAAGTGTAAGAGCTAGTCAGTAATAAGCTTGAGCTAACGGCTGAGCAATTATAATTAATATAAGCCTCTGAATGATTATTTTATAAGCAGCTGAAGGACTGAGGAACCAGGCAGGACTGGAGAAAGCTTCCTACTACAAATATATTCAAAGACCTAAGGGAAACTATGGATAAAGCATTTAGGCAGGAATAGAGACAGTGTTTCATCAAGTACCAGTTAGTAATAAAAGAACAGAGACTATTTTTAAAATAACCACATGGAAATTCTGTATGTAAAAAGTACAAGAACAGGCGTGAAAATTACTCCAAAACGACTCAACAACATACATTAAGAGTAAGAAGAATACAAATTATGAAAATTGAAAAGTTCAATTATATATTAGTCAATCAGAAGAACATAGACAAAAGTGAAAATGGAGAAAGCTTCAGAGACACGTATCCATAATATCATATGAAGAAGAGACATAGAAAAGGTATTTTCAAATAATGGCTGAAAACTTTCCAGATTTGATGAATGGCATTAGCCTGGACACATAAGTGCAATAAACTCAAAATACATAAGTGTCTAGTCACATAATAAAGAAAATACTAAAAGCCAGAGGCAGAGGGAAAAATCTCTAAAGCAGAGAGTAAAAGTGAATGGCCTTGTGCTAGCAGGTCTCATTAAGATTAACAGTTTCGCATAAAAATCAATGGAGATCAGAAGGTACTAGGATGCTACTGTGACTTGGATATAGTTTGGCTCCAGCAAAATTTGGGTTGACATTTAATTGCCAGTGCCCCAGTATTCATCAGACCATTAAGAGGTGTTAGAATTCTGAAGATTTCTCTCTTCTGCATGCTCTTCTGCTTTCTTCCATAAGTCAGGCTGCAGTGAGACTTTCTTCAGAAGCCAACTAAATCAGCCACCTGATTTTGACAGCATCCAGAGCTATGAACCAAAATAATTACTCCCTTCCTTATAAGTTACCTAGTCTTGGATATTCTTTTATAACAATATGAAACAGACTAAACAAAAAGGAAGTATTTAAAATACTAGAAAAAAGCTGGGCAGTGGTGGCACATGCCTTTAATCCTAGCACTCAGGAGGCAGAGGCAGGCAGATCTCTGTGAGTTCGAGGCCAGCCTGGACTACAGAGTGAGTTCCAGGAAAGGCACAAAGCTATACACAGAAACCCTGTCTCGAAAAGCCAAATAAATAAATAAATAAAATACTAGAAAAAAGACTGTCAACCAAAAACTTAATTCCAATAAAATTATCTTTAAGAGGTTAAATGTGATAAATTTATTCTTTGGTGTATAAATTTATACATCAAAGCTATAGGAATATACTGCTAGCAGACCTGTCGTATAAGAAATACTAAAGGATGTTTAGCAGAGCAAGGGCTGTCTTTCAGTAATTTATTATGAAATTATTCGGTAATCTGAATGCTAATAAAGATAATTGTGTAATGAATTATAAAACAATATAATATCACTCTTCATTCTATTGACCAATTTAAGGAATAATTACTTAAAACATTTATTTGTTTTTCGAGACAGGCTTTTCTCTGTGTAGCCCTGGCTGTCCTGGAACTCACATTGGATTTCCTTTAAAAGTCTAGATATGCAAGCTACAGGAGACACTTTAGATTCGAATCTACAACTGAATCAAAAGTAAGGACAGAAAATGGCATTCCATATAAACAGCAACTTAAGAGAGCTAGCAAGTATTTCTAACACTAGATAAAATATGTTTTAATGCCAAATGTGGTGTTCTTACACCTGTAATCCTAGCACTCAGGAGGATGAGGCAGGAGAATCCTTGTCACTTTGAAGTCAGCCTGGGTTACAAAGCAAGACAGTCTAAAGTTATGTGCATTAAAACAAAAATATTCTAGATATAAAAAGAGACATTTCAGGGTTGGGGATTTAGCTCAGTGGTAGATCGCTTGCCTAGCAAGCACAAGGCCCTGGGTTCAGTCCTCAGCTCTGAAAAAAACAAAAAAAAAAAAAAGAGACATTTAATAATGAAAAAGTCCACTGGGAAGGCATAATAAGAAAACCACTAAGGGCCAGGCAGTGGTGGCACACACCTTTAATCCCAGCACTCAGGAGGCAGAGGCAGGGGGATCTCTGTGAGTTCAAGGCCAGCCTGGACTACAAAAGTGAGTTCCAAGAAAGGCACAAAGCTGCATAGAAAAAGCTGTCTTAAAAAAGAAAAAAAAAATCACTAAGCCTAATCAAACAGAAGGAAAAAATGACTAAAGTGGAAATGAAATGGAGCAAAACAATAGAGAAAGATCAGCAAGACCAAAATTTGTTTTTAAAAGAACCACAAAATTTAAGAAAAAAAGCAAAGCAATTATATTTATGATAGCTTCAAAAATATTTAGAATAAATTTAACAGACTTGGTACAAATTATCTGTACATTAGAAAAGAAACAAAAAAACAAAATATTGTTGGATTAAAAGCAACCTAAATGAATAGAAAGACATCTGTTTGTTACTTAAAAAAATTGCAGTAGTCTCAAACTGGTCTACAAATTCAGTATAATCTCTTCCAGAACAGCAGATGCCTCTGTTGCAGTAATCAACAGTGTCATCCTAAAATTTACATGGAAATGCTAGGAACATAGAATCAGTCCAACAATCTTGAAAGAGAAGGAAGTTGGAGTCTCACTCACCTTTAATAATCCATAGTAGTCAAGACAGTGTGGTAGTGGTAAAAGATTAGACACACACATCAGTGGAAAAGAAAATAAAAACGTACCTTTATATTTATGCTTGATAGATTGGAATGCAACAAAATGAAGGTGAATCCCTACCCTGCACTATACACATTTAACTCAAAATGGCTTTCAGATCTAAGTGTAACAGCTAAGTGTAAAATCTTTAAAATAAAGGAGTAAGGTTTTTATAACCCTGAAGTAGGCTATAATTTCTTGGATATAACACCAAAACCAGAAGGAATGATGAGAAATAGTTCAGTTGATAGGTGTAAAAATCAAGAGATTTGAGAAGCTGCAGAGGTGGCTAAGTGATTAAGAGCATTTGCTGCTCTTCCAAAGAACCCAAGTTCAGGTCCCAGCACCCACAACCACCTACAACTCCAGTTCCAGTAGATCTAAAACCCTCTTGTGGCCTTTGCAGGTACTAGGCGCACACACAGTGCATGTACATACATACATGCAGGCAAATAATCATACATGAATAAAAATAAATAATAGATCGTTAAAATCAAAATGAGCCAGGCGGTGGTGGTGCACACCTTTAATCCCAGCACTTGGAAGGCAGAGGCAGGTGGATCTCTATGAGTTCGAGGCCAGCCTGGTCTACAGAGTGATTTCCAGGACAGCCAAGGCTGTTGTTACACAAAGAAACACTGTCTCAAAAACGAACAAACAAGCAAAAGAGCTGCAAAGAACCTTGACAACAAGGTAATGAGAGACTGATGCAGAAGAATTGAAATTTCAAGGCTAGCTTGAGTTGTAGTGAAACCCTGTCTCCAAAAATAATAGCAGCAGCAACAACAACCAGGAGAGTAAAACCAACTCCCCATAGAATTGAGGCAAAGCACTTTCGAAAATTTGTATGCGATAAAGAGTTGGAACCTATTACAACTCACTAATAAAACAGCTTAATGGGGCAGTAAAGATCCACAGATGACTAATAAGCAAATGAAAGAAAGCTTATTATCAGTAACCATCAAGGCTATGCAAATCAAAATCAAAATGAGCTTTTACTGCACTACCACTAAGATGGCTATCTCCAAAAGGTAGATAATACATGTTGGTGATGATGTGGCACAAGCAGAACCCTCATGTATTGATATAAGTGCAAAATATTGCAGTTGCTTCAGTGGAAGAGTATGGAAGTGCTACAGATTGTTCAAATAGTTTATGAGCCAGTAATTCCACTTCAAATATATATATTCTAGAAAAGTGAAAATGTGTCTTCATACAGAAACTATACAGGTGTTCCTAGCAGCATTGTTTACAGTAGACAGGTAAAAGAAGCTGAAGGTCCCATCAGCTGAGTAGATACTACAAGATATATAATATCCTCTTCAATTTCTCTTCACTGCCTGACAGTTTGTATTATTAGTATGTGTCTTTCACTTCCTTAGACTTATTCCAAGGTATTTTAATTTTCTGAGGCTATTGTGAATGGGATTGTTTCCCTTATTTCCTTCTGAATATGTTTGTTGTTTATATAGAGAAAGGTTGCTCTCTGTTTCTCTGTCTCTCTGTCTCTCTCTTTCTGTGTGTGTGTGAGAGAGAGAGAGAGGGGAGAGAGAGGGGGAGAGAAAAAGGGGGAGTATTAATTTTGTTTCTTGTTACTTTGATGAATATATTTATCAGATGTAGGAAATTTGTGATTGAATCTTTGTTGAGATGTGGACTTTGAATCCCTAAATTCTTTGGGAATTGTATCATGAAGGGATGTTGGGTTTTGTCAATGGTCTAGTGACATGCTCCTGTTTTCTTTAATTATATGTTCCCTGGTAGGTCAGCTACACTCCAGGGTAGGCCCACTCCTAAGACTAGTCTAGTAACACAAACTGGAATTGGTAGGGGCAAAACACATAAAGAAGACTCAACATTGGGTAGCTAAGGAAGAGAGGATGGATAGAGTAGATATGGGAGGAGTTGGGGAGGAAATATGATCAAAGTACATTTTATGATAATCTCAAAGAAAAAATAAAATATTTAAAATTAAAAAGTCATACAATAGAATATTGCTCAGCCATATAAAGAACTTATAATAATAAACTTTTTGTTACTATAATGAAATGCCCTAGACTGTGTAACTCTATGAAAAATCAGATATATTTAATTTAGTTTTGGAAGCTTTAAATATAAGAAGCACATCAGGAGCTCTGGAGAAGGAAGGCCTTCCTGCTGGCAGAGTGCTGTGGTGGTGCAAGGCATCACATGGCAAGAGACAGGGAGCAAACATCTGTGTCTGCATCTGTATTCTCTACATTGTCGGTCTCTTTCCCTCTCCACTGTCCTCCTCTTCTCTCTCCCTTGATTTTTTGTTTCTCCTTCTCCTTTTGATGACCCTCATCAGGAATCACTGGGCGTTTCCCCCAGTGGCTTTATCTAACCCTAATCACCTCCCAAAGAACCTACCTCTAAACATACTTGAATTAAGTTTCCATATTTTGCATCTCACAAGGTCAATTAGCTTTTTACATGTAAATTATTGGGGTGATACTCAACCATTTCAACACTAGAGAGACAGTATTATGCTGATACAACTTGGATAAATGTTGGAAACATGCTAAATAAAAGAGACCAGTTATGAAAAGCCAGGCTTGTTATCCCAGCTGCTCCAAAGTCTGATGCAGAGAACTGCTGTTGATGGGCATGTGTACTCTAACTGGGTAAATGCACAGCATTTTAAGGAGGTTATCACCAATAAGTACATACATACTGTACAGAAGCCACAGTTTTGATCCATATTTTGCCTATTATGGTGTCTTAAACAGAGACAAAAGCATGAGAATGAAATGTTGAAAAACTAAAATATTTTTGTTTCAATATAGTCTTCGGCGTGTTGTTTGTGAAATGCTCAACTCACAGTCAAATAGAGAAAAGTGCTTCAGGAAGCGTTTGGAAGTAGCAGAAGGAAGGTATTGTCAGAAAATGTAAACTACTTAGAAGATAATGTGAAATGTAAAGTAAAAACAAATAATGTGACAAAAAGAAAAAATGAGAAGAAAACAATGTCGTTGAATTCCTAGCATATAAAGCCTACAAATTTTGGTAATCTTTACCAAAGGAGTGGATATAGGTCCCATTATGAGGATCGATTCCTAGAGAAAAGAACCAGAGTTTCTGGAGAAATGTAGAACAAACAAAAGAAATCCATAGTTGTATTTTTTGTTGTTTTTTCTGTGTAGCCCTGGCTGTCCTGAAACTCACTCTGTAGAGCAGGCTGGCCTCAAACTCAGAGATAGATTCACCTGCCTCTGCCTCCCGAGTGCCGGGGTTAAAGGCCTGTGTTAATACCAACTGGCATGATAGTCCTATTTTTATTTACACTTGCATGAAAGTTTTGTCCATTTCTACCACAATTAAGTGCTCTCTGTCAAGGAGGTTCCAATTCTGTACTCAAGTAGAGTATGTACACATACATGGACATACATATCCCATAGATGGTAGTGCATGTTATAAAAGAATGTTAAAATTGTTACAAGAGGTCCTGGGGAGACAGCTCAGTTGATAAAAAGTGCTTACTACCCAAGCACAGAGACCCAAGTTCCATCCATAGCACCCACATAACAAGCCAGATTCAGCAATGCATGCTTGTAATCCCATCACTGGGAAAACAGACAGAAGAGTCCCTGGGGACCCATTCTCTAGCTAACCTTGCCCCAGTCCCCAGTGAGAGACCCTGTCTCAAAAAAGCAAGGCAGATAACTCTTATGGAACTATCCCTGATGTTAACTGCTGGCCTCCACATACACAATGGGTCACAATAAGAAATCACCCAGCAATTCAGTTTGTTTAGTGTTTATGAAGGAAGTAATGGAAGATAAAGTTAGGGCCAAATTATATACCCCAGCTCCACTTAGCAACTGCAGGCAGTCGATTATAACCTCTTCCTGATCGGCCCTTAAAAGCAGTTAAGATAATATTACCATCTGCCCTCCAACTGAGAGAATCAGATAAGGCTTCACACACTGCCTAGCAAAGAGGTTCCTTGTGTTTTGGCATGAGAAGGCTTGATTGTCCAGTTAACACATTTAAATTTTTATGTTATAGGGAGCAACACATAAAATTTTTAAAAAGGAATTGCATAAGCTGAAGCTGGGCTTTAGGAAATTAACTTAGTGGATGAGCTGGGGGAAAAACAGGTCACAGGAAGCCATTGCAACAATCCAGAGCGGTAAGGCTAGCCTCAGCCAGTGTGTTGGTAGTGTAAGTCACCGTATAAAACCGTAAAAATTGCCGACGGTTTGATGATGTTGACACCAGTAAGAAGCAGGAGAGAAGAAACATGTTTGAAGGAAACAGTCGGTTTTTACACACTGAGTTAGAGATACCATTGGGACCTCCAGGAAGAAAGGTGTGCTAAGCAGTCCTAAAGTCAGTATTGGGGTTAGGACTTAGGAGAACGTGGGAGGTGTGCCCCCCCATCAGTTGGGGCCAACATGTCTGAAATTGCTAAAAGGAAGGATCAGAGTCAAAAGTGGAAATAGTTACGAACAGAGCCCTTCGAGTTGGGCAAAGGAAGATCAGGCACATAATACAACTTAATTTACCTTTCATAAAACTTGTTTTGTCTTTGTCTGTCTGTCTGTCTGTTTGTTTTAGACAGCTTCAGTCTGTAGCCCTCCCTGACTGGCCTGTAGCCCAGGCTGGCTTCTAAGTTGTATCAGTCTTCCTGCCTCGGCTTCCCAAGTGTCACGATTACAGGCATGCACCAATATGTCCAGCTTTCCTTTCTGTGTAGTATTTTATACAAACTGCTACAGGATAACACAAGAGCTGTTGAGATGGCAGGCCAGTTTGGGTTCTGAAAAACCCCTAGAGCATTATGAGAAGTTAAGATTGAGATGTCTCACAGCTGTTCTCCGAAACCACAGAGATAGGGGCAGCCTTGAGGTCCTCTGAGGGGGCTAATTACATGCCTGATCGTTTCTCACTAAAAGTTCAACAGCTGATTTTTACCTTGGCATCTCTTGGTCACCTGGAGAGAGGACAATTCCAAGAATGAAAGTGGCATTCCAGCCCTTCTGCCTATTGAACATCACTATGGATTTCTCTGGCACCAGCTGTTTTGATAGGTTCTTCACCTATTAGTGCTTGTAGCAGCCAGAAAAGGAAGGGGACTTGAGACCATGATCCTGGGTTTCTCTGAAGAACAAAGGGAGCTCCAGCTTGTGCCTGGCCCAGTGAGGTTGTTGGTCATACTGGGGAAGTGACTTGAACTGGCAGCTTTACTTTCTTTGTTTCTAACTAGGGCCTTGTGTTTTAATTAACTTTTACAAGTGAATAATGGGCAACAGCCATAATCCACTGGGCTGGCAAGGAATTGTATGGAGTTCTATTGCAATATAAAAATGTGTTAAGTCTTTGATACCGGAGGGTTTGTGATACTTTAAAATTAACGAGCTGCCTTTGCTCTCTGCATACACTGCTAGGCTTTTTTATGGCCCTTTATCCCATTCTGTGTTAAGAGATTCTCTGTGTGTGTGTGTGTGTGTGTGTGTGTGTGTGTGTGTGTGTACGGTTTTTGTGTCTTCCTCTATTTGCTTTTAGGAAGCTTCACAGTTAGGCTGGTTTCAAATTCATTTTTAAAACATTTTACCAAGGTCAGCCTCCTCATGTTTTATTCTTATGCTGACCCTTACCACCTATCAAGTTCATTTCTCCCTTACTGACAGTTGCCAGTTTAATCAGTTGCACAAGTGAAGGGCTGGAGGCTTGGGGTGGGGGAGCTCAGTTGTTGGACTACTTTGTTAATTTATCAAAATTCGTTAGACTGGGTAACTTTACAAGAAAACATGTTTGTTCAGCTCACGGGTCTAGAGATTCAAGGGCACAGCGTGGCCCTGCTCTGGTGAAAGCCTTATGGTGGGTGGGATCACAATGTTCGGGTTGTGTGTGAGAGAAAGCCATTACGTCTTTTATAGTCTCTGAATCTCCTGAGAACTAACTCGGGGTCCCATGAGTGTTGCTTTAATCCCTTCTGAGGAAAACACCCCCCAGTGGCCTAACAACCTTCCACAAGGGGGCTTCCTCTTAAAAGTCGCGCATTCCCTGTTAACATTGCCATGCTAGGGACAGCTTTCGGCACACTCTGAGGGAAGACATCATTTCACAGCCATGGCAGTAAGAGTCCTAACCTGAAAGAATATGTGCCTTGAGGGGGGACTTTGTAGAATAAGGATATTCTTAACCTGTCCTGTGACAGCTTACAATTCGATTTCTTCTTTTTGCAGTAAGTACAAATTGATGCTCGGTGAGGAGCCTGTGGAGAAACGAAGGAGGCTCCAGAACGAGATGACACCATCTCCTATAGATTACTCCATGTCCAGTCCTTACAGGAGGGCAGAAGCAGCTGCAGCCTACCCAGAAGGAGACAACAGCCAAGATCAATCCAGTTCTGAGAGAAGCACACCACCATACCTCCTACCAGAATACCCAGAAGCAAACAAGAATATAGACCAGAACCGGGAAGCTCCAGCACTTGGTCCAGGGGCCCAGGGCCAAGACCAGGAGTCCCTGCTTCCTGAAGAGCTAGAAGATCAGATGCCAAGATTGGTAGCAGAAGAATCTAACAGAAGTAGCGAGAACATAAACAAAGAAGTGAATAAAGGGCCTTTTGTAGCTGTAGTCGGTGTCGCAAAGGGACTTACAGATTCAGGAGCTCCCATCCAGCTAATCCCTTTTAACAGGGAGGAGTTTGTAGGGAGAAGAAAGGCAGCAGGATCCTGGAACCGGAATCCTTATTCTTCTGGGGCCCCTGCCGCAGCCGCTGCAGGGAAGGGAAAAGGCTGCCAGGAAAGTGGAGGGCGCAACATGCCAAAGATCAAGAACCAGAAAGAATTGGAGGAATTGAAGAGAACCACGGAAAAACTGGAGCGTGTTCTGGCTGAAAGGAATTTGTTCCAGCAAAAGGTTTGGGCAATGCATTACCACTAGGGATAAGACAAGGTCATTGTAACCAAGGGACTAGGGCAGTGGTTCTCAGCCTTCTTAATGCTGTGACCCTTTAATACAGTTCCTCATGTTGTGGAGACCCCCAACCATAAAATTATTTTGTTGTTACTTCATAACTGCAAATTTGCTATTGTTATGAATCATAATATAAAGACCCATGTTTTCTAATGGTCTTAGACAACCCCTGTGAAAGGGTCATTTGAAATCCTGATGGCTTCTGACCCACAGGTTGAGAACCACTGGACTGGGGTGTTGATATGTTAGCGATTTCTTTGATACTCTGAAGCTTTTAAACAAAATATGTTATTAAACCAGTCTGTGGTTTAAACTATGTCCTAGATTGTGTGGCCCTAATGGGCTTTCCCTCTGTATTTTAGGTTTGACAAGAGATTTGCATAAGTATAATAATGCATTACAAATAATGGGACCACAGGGTAGATTTTGTAGGAACGGTTTGGGATACTCTAGCTTTTGGTGTATGGGTCACTGACTTTCTCTTTCTTGGACTGCAGGTAGAGGAGCTGGAACAGGAGAAGAATCATTGGCATTCTGAATTTAAGAAAGTTCAACATGAATTGGTGACCTATAGCACCCAGGAGACAGAAGGCTTATACTGGAGCAAGAAGCATATGGGTTATCGCCAAGCTGAATTCCAGGTTCTGAAAGCCGAACTAGAAAGAACCAAAGAAGAGAAGCAAGAGCTAAAAGAGAAACTGAAAGAGACAGAGACACACCTGGAAGTACTGCAGAAGGCCCAGGTCTCCTGCCGGAAGCCAGAGGGAGATGACCTAGAAAGGTTAATTACTAGGGTTTAGTTATCAGCTTGTGAGTACTAATGGGAATTTTCTGCTAAGGACCCCCCCCCCCCGCCAGTTACTGGTCATAGACAAGGGAGAAAGTCTTAATTCATTGACCACCACGGATTGAGTAATTATTTCTTAGAAAGCTGCAGCCAATCTCCCTGTGTTTGATGGCATGGTGCTTTCTGTCTTCTTTCTACCTAACAGAGACATAATTGTTAAGAAATGTAGGCCCATTTTGAAGGGACTTCATTTTATTCTGTTGGCTAATGACTTCATGTCATCTCTTCTCCTGCCCCCTCACTCCATCATACAGGGCTTTGGCAAAGCTTACGCGGCTACGTATCCACGTCAGCTATCTCCTTACTTCTGTCCTCCCTCACTTGGAGCTTCGTGAGATCGGGTATGACTCAGAACAAGTGGATGGGATCCTGTACACGGTGCTGGAGGCAAATCACATACTGGATTGAGCACCAGACTATATATCCTCTCCTCGCTTTCTTTTCTCTGTTCTGCCTGTGTGCTCTATGTCCTCCCTTATCTCTCTCCCCCTTTCTTCCCCTCCCCCAGCCTTTTTTTCTTTTTCACCTTTATGCCTTATATTGAGAATCTTTAAATAAGTCCTGGGTTCTTAATCAGTGTGCTTCACATTCAGAGTGGGTGCGGAGAAAGAGGCCCATTAAATAGCCGTTTAAGAGTCCAGGAAAAGAAAAAGCAATAGTCACCAAGTTAGGTGACCTGAAAGCTCTAGTTTTCATGATCTAGATACTTGGCCTATTTCATGTTCGGATAGTGGTTCGTGTTCACTTAGGATAAATCGGTCAGCAACTGTTGGGTCCAATGTACCTGGTGGGATAAATCAAGCTTTCAGCCCTGCCAAGGTTGAAACAATCTAGTTGGAAGCACAAGTCACAGCAAGTTAACTAACGATCCAAAGGAGGGTATAGTGTGTGTGCGTGGTGGAAAGATGACAGAGAAGATGAAGAAGAGCAATGTAAAGGGAGGCAGTGCACCGTAAGTGGGACCTAAATGAAGCATCAAAAGAGTGAGCATGACAACACTCTGAATCATGCTTGTTGCCTAACTGGTAGGATTATGGTTGATAGTTTTTTCTCCTTCCTATCTTCTTGCCCTTTTCAAATTTTCTATAGCATTCTTGTTATTCTTCTTACATTGGAAAATAAATTGTTTTGAAAGCTAACAAGTAGGCTTGAATCTGGGTGTCAAATGAGATGTTTATGAAAGTATAAAGTCATTTTACACTTATAATTTATGTTGAGTTTAACGTTACCTCTGGGGAGACAGCATAAACAAATGTGCAAAAAAAAATCCAGAATGTGAAAAATGTGTTTGGTAAGAGTAATAGGTTCATGTAAAAGGAACCCACCAACGAACTCACCAATTCTCCGTGGCATTTTTATTTTAATAACAGATATGTGAAAATAAATATATAAGGATCAAAATTTTGTATGTATCATCACATTATTAAATTTTAGATATCAGGGGAAATATTTTAGAATAGAAAGATTTAGTTGTCATCCCTTGTAATATACCTACATACTTTCTAGACTATATAGAATAAGATGTAGACCTCAGAGTACAGAAATATACAGTACAACTTATACTCATGCAAAGATGAGCTTTATGAATCCATTGCTTTATTATATTTATGTAGTATAAAGTCTCCAAAGAGTTAAAGGTACTCCTGAAAGGTTGCTGTACAGTAAATATATATATATATATGCCTATGTATACCTCTGTATATGTGTGTCTCAGCATTGAAAACTAGGAAGTAGAGGAGATGAATAATAAAAGGAAGGTGGAATCCACCAGCAGTAAAAGGATTCTGTAGTACAGACAAAACACTTTGGATAGTGATTCTGTTTTCCTCAGTAAATTTTCTGCAGAAGCCTGTCCCAAGAATACTTTACCTCCTTTGAAGGGAAGCCCATCATAAATAGATATTCCTGTGAGTCTGTGGAGAATATGAGGAGGCCACAGCCAGGCTTCACCATTAGATTGGTACTTAAACATACCCCTGCTCCTGCCACTCCTCCTCACCCCAGCTTTAGCACGCTGCATGATTAACTTCCATGTTCGACATTTGCATCAGTCTATCCAAGGCCTCGGTTGTCTAAATGGGGTTATGAACAAGGGGAGGATAACACATGCAGTTATTTTCTCAGTGATACTTGTTGGTCAGATGGGGACTGGGAGCGGTGAGACTTTTGCACAGATAAGAATAATGTGAATGGGAGCCCAGGAGAGGAGGAATTTCAGTAAATGGAAAGTTTAGTCTGTATAGCTATTTGTTGGATGAGTGGGGGAGGCAGATAGTTGAGCTCTAAAGGGGAAGAAAGATTGGAATCTTAACTCATCTTTACCCGTGCTTCCTGTCTGCACAAACTCCCTGGTTTATGTGCTGTCAGCCTGTGGTTTTGAACCCCCATGCTTCTTCCAGCAACACTCACCTGTGGTAGTCTATCCACTCCAGTAACAGAGCTATTGCTTTGTTACCTATTTACCCTGACACCACATACAGACACTTAGGTTCAAGTTCCAGCCTTTTACAGATGTCCCCCAAGACCGCCCGCCTGCCTATGCTTTGTTCCCACAGCCTTTCATCATTTGTACTGCCCTAGCTCGCTTGGTCTACTGGGAACATGGCAAGCTGTCCGCTAACCTCAGAGGCTACCCTGGTACTCTGCCCTCTGATACATTCGTTAACCTTCCTGCAATAAAAGGATGCTCTAGTTACAGACAAAACACTATGAAATGTGACCCACCAGAGATAAATATTCCTGTGAGTCTCGAACTCATGTTAAATACCACTGTGGAAAGACTGGAGTGTTGCCCATCCTTACCGGAAGCCATTCTAGTATGAAAACAGGTACTAACAGTAAAGAAAACAGGTGCCTCCTCCTGGCTTTCCTCTGAGGTTAACATAAACCTCCTTACAAATGTTTCCCTTTAACTGGCCATAGTTAGCATGTGGGCATTTACTATCTCATTCCTTGACAGTTGAAATCAATTCTTAATTGGCCTCCCTCGTCTCCTATTCTCATTCCTCAATACACACTTCTTAATATCACTAAATAGCTCTTAACAACGCTATCAGGTCATGTCTCTGCTCAAAGACAGTATTGCTCTCTCTTGCCCACAAACTGTTATCCAAATTCTCTGGTGTGGTTTTCAAGCCAGTGTTGTCTGGGGTACTCACTCTCCTCTATACACTCATCTTCCAACAAGCCAAACACAAAGCTCTTTTCTACCTGCATGGAACTCCTTTTCAATTTCTGAATGCATCTTAAGATTTTTGCACTCTGCCTTTGCTATTCAACTCCTGGAATGTTCTCTTAATCATCTTTCCTTTGGTTAAAATGCCAACTTATTTCGGAAAATTCCTCTAACCCAGGAAAGCATGAAATTTTTCTTTGAATGTTTAAGCCTTGTGTCATTTCTAAGACTTGTATCATAAACTTCCTGATCCTACTTTCCTTATTAGAAAGCTCCAGATTGATATTCAACTGCCTACTTGACATTTACACTTACATATCTCACAGACGTTTCAAGTAAATCATGCTAAAAATAAACAGCGACATACCCCAGGACTTTTCCTCCCCCACAGTTTTCTTCATGTTAGAAAATGGCACCTCTTCCCACTCAGTTGCTTAAGCTAGAAACCTGGAAGTCATCCTTAATTCCTTTTCCCATTCCCTACATCCAGTCTGTCAACATGCCTGTTGTTTCTATTTCCAAAGCGTGATCTTGACTCTGCTGGCTTTTCCCACAACCTCAGTCTAAACGCCCGTGGCTCCTTTCCTTGGATCCTAACAGCTAACTCGAGACCTTGGATCCTCTCTTGCACTCACAATTGTCTTGTCACTAGAAATGGTATACTTTTAGAAAGTAAAATAAAAATCAAATCATGTGACTCTCTGCTTAAAGGCAGTACCTCACTTCTCATTTCATGTAGAGCAAAACCGACCCCTGTTACAGTGTCTTACGAGACCCCTGCCTACCTCTTACATTTGTCTCAGTGATCTTTCATCATTTACCACTTCACATACGGCCCCTTCCCCTGCATACTTGACTTCCGGCTGAAACATATCAAGCTCTCACTTAAACTCAGAGCCCTCAGACTGTACCTTCTCCTGAGATGTTCTTTACCCATTCTGTCCAACTGGAGTGCTGTGTTTCCAGTCTTGGCATGATTCACTCTTCTTGATTCTATCTTCTTCCTAGATACGACTTCCATGTTTTTTCTCTATTTCTACCATAGTATCTTCCCACAGTCCTTGTTTTGTTTCCAGTTCATAGCAAGCTTGTATACTTAGTCATTTTCATTCATTCAAAAAAATATTCATTGGGCACCTACTATATGCTGAGTGATAGCCAGTGGTGAATATAACGCACATTGTTCGTATACACCTGTTTCAGTAAGTTCTATAAGACCATGCTTGGTTTGCTAACCACTGTATCCTACTGCTTATCATAGTACCATAGTACCTGGGATATAGTAAATAAGCAAGAAATGGTTGTTAATGGATGGTTTAATGATGGAATTGTGTTCTGTTCATATCTCCATCTCAGTGATCTAAAACAATGTCCCGTTCATTGAAGAGGGTAAATCAATCAGTGTGAGTAAGGTAGATAACCGTCCTGGGCATTAGCCTCTGAACAGGAAAGGCCCACACAGTAGCTGCTGCGGGCTATAGGAGTGGGGTTGCTGGGAGGAGCCTGGTGTTGCTCTCAGCAACTCTTCAGTGGAGGTAATTAGAATGAGAAAGAAAAGGGAGATGGGTGTTCTTCACACAAGCAATCTACATAAATACTCAGAGAGACAAAATTTAACCAGGAGATGGCTATACAGACCAGATCTTGAAAGTAAGAACTGAACAGAAAACATTTCTAAGAACTCCTTGTCTGTATTTTCAAGGGTGAGGGCGGTTCATTTCAGCAGTAGAAAGAAGAGTCATTCACGAGCTAAGAACAGAGCAAGTTTCAAGGAAACCAGTTCCAGGCGTGTGTTAGGTCAGTACGTGCTTGTTGTATGAACAAATGGATACCTGGATGATGACCAGACCAGTGGTGTTGTGGTGCCAGAGTTGGGGAAGGTTTGTTTGCCCACGGCTGAGGCTTGCACATTGTCTGGCCTAACAATTGAGAAGAAGAGGCTGTAGTCTTAGTTCCCAAGGGCAATCTCAAGATAAAACATGCTTTAGAATCCTGTACTGTGAATTAAAACCCCTTTCTGTAGCACTACATTGGGAGTGAAACATAACAAACAGTCTTCTCTATGTGAGGTCAGGCTAAGGCAAGTACGATTTCCAAGAAAAGAGGCATATTTCATGAGGACCACCCTACCTCATGATTTCTATCAGGAACAATGTGCTCCAACTCAGACGCTCTCCAGCGTGGGCTGGAGAGATGGGCTCAGTGAGTAAGAAAGCTTGCTGCTCTTGCAGAGCTTCAGTTCCCAGCCCCCACACAGGGGATCTCACAACTGCTTACAGCTTTATCTCCAGGGGATCTGAACCCTCTTCTGGCTCCACAGACACCTGCATGTACATGTGATACATGCACACAGATGGAAATCAAATAGATCTTTTGCAAAGTCAGAGTGAGGTGGTTTGTAAGCTCAGCATTCAAGAGGCCGAGGCACAAAGATTCAGAGTCAAGGCCAATGTTGGCTGCACAGTGAGAACATGTCTCAAAAGTCAAGGCACATTTTTGGATAATAAACTAAATAATTGTACGAACTGACCTGTAAGTCTTGGGCATACAAAAATTAGTTCATAAGTGAGACACGAATAGCAATTTATTTTATTTATTGGTCCTGAATATTGAGGTAGGGGTTTGTGCATGCTAAATTTGCATGATACTAGTGAACTATAACCCCCATCCAGTTTTGTAATGAAAAAATAAAAATCTGAAGACAAAAATTTTGTTGCTCAGCATTTTGGTGTGAATTGCCGTAAACTACATTACTTTTCGATAATGTAGTACAAATGTTTTGGTTGCTTTCTACATGTCAAACACATTCCACACATCTGCCCATTGGGTTCTGAAAGACATAGAAGATAAGGGAAGAATGAGAAAAAGTGACCAGCTCCCCAAGTCTACTCATCCAGATGGGCCCTGAAATCCTAAAGCATTGGAAGGTGCAATATGAGGAGAGCATCTTCCAGTTATGGGGAATAGTATAAATTATGGTAGCAGAAATATAGGAAGACATGGGTTAAGCACAAGGGTTAAAGCAAATATCCAACCTGAAGTACAAAGAACTTTGGAAGGCTCTGAATTAGAAAAGTTGCTGTTGAAATCTTCTAAACAATCCCTGAGTTCAGGAAGCTAGCCCCTAGTCTGCAGTGCCCTTGGACTGAAGTCTTCTCTAGCAGTGAGACCTGGTGAATGATTAGTTTTCTTCCACCCCAGATTCTTACAGATGAAGGTAAAAGCCATCACTATCATTTTCTTTCCCAGCTTATTCTGTTGCTAGAACCTTACAAATAGAAACTTATCCAAGCTCTTTCAGGCAGTTTCAACTTCAGGAAAGAGTCTTGAAAAGTTTTGACCTGGAAAAGACAACTGCCTGTCTAAATTACGTTCAGATCCATGGTAGAAAATGCACTTGGGTGGCTTAGTGGATAAAGGCACTTGCCACAAATCCCAGTAACTTGTTCACTTCCCAGAACCCAAATGAAGGGGGAGGGGGAGGCAGGGGAGAATCAATTGAAATAACACATTTTTTTTTTTAAGAGAAAACGCACTTTTAGGATTAAGCTGTAACCCAGTTGCTGCATGCCAGCGCTTGCCTGGCATGCAGCAAAGGTCTTCACTGATTCCCAGCACCATATAGAACAGGAATGGTAGCATCTGCCATTCTTTGACACAAACACTTGGAGGTAGAGGCAGAAGGATCAGAAGTTCAAGGCTATCCTCAGCTGCATAAGGAGACAGAGAGTTGAAGCCAGGAGACTGTCTCTCTCTCTCTCTCTCTCTCTCTCTCTCTCTCTCTCTCTCTCTCTCTCTCCTCTTCTCTCTCGCTCTCTCTCTATCTCTTTGCAGCACTGATCCAGTTACAACCTTTTAGGTCACTAGTGTGTTTAGACAGGAGTTGACCAAGACTATGCTAAAATGCGGAATTATCCCTACTTTATAGACAAGAAAACCAAGTGTAAAGAATTGACATGGCTTTCCCAAAATGCTAAGGAAAAAAATCTCAATCTAGGTTTGCCTGACTCCAGAAACCTAGCTATTTGACAGTTGCTCCATATAACCAGTCTAGTCTTTCTCCTTTCAGTAAGAAAACACTAAAAGGCAGCCCACACTGATAGGAGTGGTCGCCACTCACACACAATGTTTAACTGCCCTCATGATCGGAAATCGTTCGCTTGTGTAATGAATCTCTCTCCTAACAACCTGGAAATTCATTTCCTCTTGACTGGGTTTTTCACTCAGGCTGTTCCTTGGCAGCTTTCCTGATATCAAAACAGTCATTGGGATCCTATTCCTACACTCCGGGAGGTCTTGGACTTGTTGGCCTCTGCCTGGAGTGTTCTCTCTGGCTACTCTGAACCCCCCTTCCCAGACTGTGCTGAGTTGGGCATGTCTCGGGAGTGAAACAGTGACACCTGAGAACATACTGGTTTATTATTACACAAAGAAGAGTAAAATGCACCACCCGCGATGTCCTGGCATGCCAGCAGGATGATGGCACCCCCTTGCTTACCCTGTCTGCCTTTTTCTCACTTCTCTGCTGTCCTCATCTCTGAAGCTGCTGAATCATCTATTTGAAGGATGCATGAATTATTTTTTTTTTAAAAAAAAAAGCTCCTGCTCCCCAGTGTTTCCCAATTACTGTTTTGTTTTGCTTTGAATTGGACTTTTCTGGCTCCTTTCAACGCTAAACCAAGAAACTAGTGGAGTTTCTGTTATCAGTAGCTCCTCTGTGGCAGAATGTATTTCTCCTCCCAGAAAATGTACTTTATTTTTAAAGCAAGCTTTTCAGTGCCTTTAAGTCAAGGGACTGGGGTGTTTGTTCACAGTATCATCCAATAGTCCTTTGTGGGAGCTGCTACTCCATTCTCCGTCTCCCCACTGGGTAATTCCACAAGCAAACTCAGGCAAAGAAGTCAGAAGGAGCATCTTCTCCTTGCTCCTGCCCTTTGTCTCCAGCCACTCTCTCTGAACTCTTTCAAATATCTCAGAGTAATAAGTGTATATAGGTGGTGTGCTTGCCACACCGCTCATTTCCCATCGAATGTCACACCTTGCTACCTACGATCTTTTTTTAAAGTATACAAATGTTCTCAGTGTTATCTCTCTACAAGATTGTGAGTGTTTGCAGAATTCTTCAAAGCCCTCCTGGGTGACTTGTGAAGTGGTGAGAGGGTCATTCTGAAGAAACGGAACGTCAGGGATGACAAGAAAGCAGCAACTCTCTCCTAAAAGGGGCTGGAGGATGCACCCTTGTCCAGTGTTTCCTGCTTTGTCAAGTCCTGCCTGCCATCCAGAGTATTGACTCTTGGGATAGAAAACTGTGAGCGAGAAGTTACGGTTCCCAGAAGTGCGGTCAGCTGTGGGTGGGAGAAGGTGTGGTCAGATCCTAGTCTCAGTATCACTGTACCTGATAGCCACCTGCTAATCTTTTATCAGGGATCACACCGCAACATTCAGTGAGCTACCACTTAGGGCAAAAGAGAGAGATAACCTGCTGGACTTCCTGTTTGAAGTTTAATTCCTTCTTGAGATAGCAGCATTTCTCATCAAAGCCAGGGAGCCGCTTGGTTAGGGAGACCAGGCTGGGTGAGGGGCAGGCTTCAGCCAGCTGAGGAGGAAGATATACACTTCACAGTCTGGCCTCGGTGGCCAGAGCAGGAAGCTAGTATATGCATGAAGAGATCCTCAGTTCACCCAGAGAGAGGGAGCCGTTGACCCTGCAAGGCCTCCCTTACCTTCCTATAACACCTATAACACTCACTCCCCCTCACACACTGTTCATACTCTAGCCCAAAACCAAGAGGTCCCGGGATACCTGGATTGGCTCTGTTTCTGCTGCCCCAGCAATTTACAAAGAACTACCTACCAAAAGGAAGGAGAAAAGGGAGAGCAGGCTGAGCCCCAGGGCCACTCCCTCTTCTGGAGCCCCAAAGAGGGTCTGGTGAGAACAACTCTGAAGGGATACTGGCTTACCTATGCAGCCAAGCCCTCTCTTTATTCTATGTCCCAAGCCCCCGTAAAACTTTCAGCTGGAAGAAATAGGGTTGGGTTTTCAGTCATCCTCCAACCTTCCCAAGTTCCAATAGTGTTGGGTCCTGATTTCAAGTGGATTGGGATTTAAAGGGGTTTACATAAATGTTTGCCCCTGACACCTGTAATCTTAGGTACCCCACCATCTCTTGAGGGGCAGTCCGTCCTGCTTTGTGCTGTAGCTCTGCGTACATGACTTTTCTTCCCACCTTAGCTGTCGACTTCCTCCAGGCACAGACTTGACGGTGTTCGCTCCTGTTGCCCTCAGAGCCCTTACTTGGCACGTCTTACACTGAGTAAGAGTTCAGGCAGTGTGGCCTGACGGACTGGCTGGCTCAGAGGCTGGACAGTTGAGTGACTATTTGATTGGATAAAGGGCTCAGAACGGGGCTTGCCTTTTCCCTAAGAAGGCAGTTTCGGTCTCCCCACCTCCATTAATGATCACATAATAATGGGTCACTAGGGCCCTAGGAGGGGAAAACATGAGTCATGCTAGTATCAGAGGAAAGAAAGAGGCCAAAAACATCTCCCTTTGTACAAGGGTCAGAGCCATGAGGTGGGAGCATTAACACAATGGCCTTTACTATGTATGCCCTCAGTCTACGGTTAATCTAAATTACTTTATGATGGAAAGGCAATGACGGAGCTGGAAACGGTTCAGTTTGGACCAGGACTCAGGAAATTTCTAGGAAACCATTCAGAGCAAGGCTTTCCTTGCTCAGCCAATCAAGGGGGAAACATGGCTTTTTATCAGGTGTGCTGTGATTTTTTTCTAGCCGAAGATGAACTTTTAACTCCTTCCATTGAAACTTTCTTGATTAAGAAAAGCCATAGGGCCAGTGATGGTAGCTCACGCCCTTGATGCCAGCCAGCACTCAGGAGGCAGAGGCTGGTGGATCTCTGAATTCGAGGCCACTCTGGTCTACAGAGCAAGTTCCAGGATGGCCACGGCTACACAAAGAAACCCTGTCGAGAGAGAGAGAGAGAGAGAGAGAGAGAGAGAGAGAGAGAGAGAGAGAGAGAGAGAGCAGGACAGCTTCAGCCTGAAACAAAGGGCAGTTAGGGCAGTTATTTGGTTCACTTCCTTCATAAGCCGCTCTAGTCTGTGGCAAACAGAGTGGGAGTCCTCAAATTTACAGAGCAGTGCCCTCACATACCTTCTTGGATTAGAATCACAGATCCATGTTACCATGGGAGTAGTTGCCAAGCTTATATCCAGATTTTGACGCTCTGTAACCTTAGAGACTTCACTCACCACCTTGGTCCTTTCCGGTGAAAAACCTGCTTCCCTGAGATATTTAGAGGATGAAAATGCCTTGGCTGCCAGATGGTGGGTAGTCAGAACCATACTCAGGATTCATCAAGGTAAACTCGTTAAAGCTAACCCGCCTTTCAGCCCCCATTTGTCCTGGGTCAAGCACTGGGAATTCTGGGACCAGACAGGAGATGACTTCTTACTGTGCCGTGAGTGGGTCCTCCTCCTCCCCAGCCCTTCCCTCTAAATGGATTTGGATGCTGTCTTCAATCCTGTGCACCAAAGAAGGTCCGCTTCAGAAGTACAAGGCTGCTGTTTGTAATAACCAGCTCCTATATGCGATGCCCCCGGAAGTTCAAGGGCTGGTTGAGCTGAACTCACAGGGCCCCATTCTTGTTAGTATTGTATTAATAAACTTATTACTAGGCTGTGTTATGAAGTCAAATCATTGATATTCCAAACTTCCCCAGAGTTAGAGGACTTAGAACTGATATGTTGGATCTTAGATGACAACCTAGCACCCCCCTGGTCAGACAGATAGCATGGTAGGAGCCGGCAGAAGTCAAGCTTGATGAATTCCCACTCCCCCAGATCACCTTCATGGGTAAGCAGGGGAGCCTGAATGTCTCATTGTTACTTTGCAGGTCCTACGCAGATTTCTTTAGACTGCATGGGAACTTCTGGAAGGCTGTTCTTATTGGCTGTGAAAACTGCTGGATCAGCAGGGTCCTATTTTCAGAGTCAAGAGACTAACTTAGACTAGGGTACTAACTCCAGCTATGTAGCCCTGGGAAAACCTTTACTTGGGTGGATCTGCATTCCCCTATATGCCAAATGGAGCTGATCAGGTCAGGCTCAGCTTCCTCATGTTAGTGGATTGGAGAATGAGAGGAATACACACATAACCATTGAATAACCAACCCCAGTTAAGTGATTTTCAAGTACATTTTTACTTTTCTGAAAAAGAACAAACCCTGGGCAAGATGAAGGACTTCATTTCTTTTGTGAGGGGTATTGTCATGTACTCTGATTGTATTCACAAAACCTGGAATTTTCTGTGCACCTTTGTACACACAAAGATAGGCTCCCACCTGCCCTTCCTAACCCAATTCCTTTCCATCACATGTACCCTGTCTTAGCTCCCTTTTAATCAATAAAACAATTGCTCAATCAACAAGCATTTATTGATCATCTTGTGTGTGCCCAGCACTGTTACAGTCTTGGGTATATATACAGACAGGTCTAAGATATGACAACTGCCCTCCAAGTACTTACAGTGAACTTTTGAGATCACACAGACAGACAGACAGATACACACACACACACACACACACACACACACACACACACACACACACACACACGAGAACTATCAATCAAAATTATGACTAATAAGCATTAAGTGATTTATATATTGGGAGTTGGAAGAGGGAGAGGTAAGAGCAGAAAGGAGTGGTCAGAGAAGTCTCGATGAAGGAGGTGATGACGAGCAAGTTCTCCAAGCATGGGAATGACTTAGTGAAGAGGAAATGGCATCCAGGTCGGTAAACCAGCTTGAGCATGGTGGAAATAGGAAAGGCATGTTAGAGGAAACCTCACGTACAGGCCTCCCTTGCTGGCACTGAAGTTTTGACACGGTGTGCTGGACATCTTCTGAAGCTGGTGATATTAGGCTGGTGGGGGGAAAAGAACGTCTCTTGTTTCTGATCCCCACGCATCACAGAGGAAACGGAGCATTTTAAGACCTTGATAGTGAAACTGTTAGGCTGAGAACCATTCTCTGTTCTCCTACTTCGAGCACAATCCCAGGCAGCAGTCCGTCTATCACTCAGGTCATAAACCGATGTTCCACACTGGAGACCTTGCATACCAGTCAAAATATCTTCTGAAGGGCCATGACAGAGGATTCAAAGTGCCCAATGACCTATCTGGTGCTGTGGTCTTTCGGAGGCACTGTAGGGCTCTGAGTTGTTTTTCCATTAAGTCTGAAGGTTCTGGTAGGGCTGCCTCTCTGAAACAGTAGGGGCACACACAGCCACCATACATGTTCACCTAGCTTCTCGGGTACCACCGTCCTTATTCTTTCTTGGCCAGGGTTAAAGAGTAATATCTTTCTTAGTCCTCTGCAGTTCGCCATGTTGAAGGGCAGTTCTAGAAAAACTGGTTTGTTGTTCCCAAGGAAACCTTTGTCTAGAGCTCCAGGTCTTGTGGTTTAGCCAGGAGGCTAGGTCAGACACCCCAGAGGGAGGCAGAGGCTTCAGTAGTGGTTGTTAACTGCAGCTTCTTGGTAACTCCGCGGTGGAGTCGGAGTGCTGCAGCCCTGCACTTTTCCGTTCTCTTCCTGGGCTTTTCTGCAGCTCTGCCTCCCCAGGGGTATGGGGACGAGAGGACATGCCCTGAGAAGTGATTCTGACGATTTGCCGGTCCCAGATTGCCTTCCATCCTGCCCCCAGTTGCTTTCTGCTGGATGCCACGAGGTGTCTTTCCTTCAGTTCATTCACAGCCCAGTCTGGACACGCTGCATTCATAACAAAAGTGGGAGAGAGGCTTAGGCCTGCTACAGATCAATCCATGTCTTTGGATGGAGGGTTGAGAAGGGAGCTAGAGCCGTGCTCACAGAAGCCACCACTCCTTCTTTCTGTCCCCCAGCAATTGGTAAGAGCCAACCTCAGCCAGAGGGAGAGGGTCTTCTGCTCACAGATGGTCAGTCAGTAGGATATGATTAGTAGGTTGGGGGCACCGATTTCCAGGTAAACCAAAGGTCAGAGGAGCACCTCTGGGTTTAGCCAACAGTGGCAGGGATGGGATTTGGAGTTTGGGGTTGAGCAGTCAAAGTACAGGAGGTGCCTTGGTGGGGCAGGGTAAGGAAGATTGAAAAGCTGACTTGGTGAGGGCCCTTGCAATTGGACCTACATGCCACCACACCCGTCTCCATCTCTGCCTTCACTCCATCCGATGGCCAAAGTCAGTCTAGCCTCAGCAGCACCTTATACATGGTTCAGTGGCAACATACCTTGCCTGTGACCCTCAGGGCATTGTCTGCTACTTTTTCTTTACAGTCCCAGCCACCACCTCACCCCACCCCCAGCTCCGGCCCCTGGTTCTTCACACGTACCCAGTCAGGCTGTAGGAGTTGAACTCATTCTTGGCTTTGGGCTGTTGCCCAGGCCTTGGAGAGCTCCTTGTGGTAAGAGGCTGGGCCTGGTAGCCATCATAGTAGTTGGTACGATTTCCCTGAGGCGAGCAGGAGAAGCAGAGGATGACTCCAGCTACCAGCGAGAAGAGGGCTGAAATAATGCCCAAGTAAAGGGCCTCTCCAATCTCAAATTTCATGCTGTCAGGAACCAGTGGTGAGTAGAAGTCCCGAAGGATGCCATGAAGATTCCAGGCAACTGGGATAAAACCCAGGATGCCACCAAGGATGAAGAAAACTCCACCCACTACGGCCACTCTGTCCTTAGCTCGAGAATCCTGGCAGAACACTGTGCATCTCATGCCCACCACAGAGATAATGCAGGCCAGTGAGGACATTGCGCTGGATGTCACCATCATGGCCTGGGCAGCCTGGATGTCAGCAGGAAGTCCTAGAAGTGTACTGTAGATATCACACTGCGTGATGCCTGTGCTGTGTGTAGCACACTCCATCCAGAGGCCCTTGGAAAAGCCAACCGCTGTCACAATGCTGGCACCAACGTAAGAACTCGTTCGCCAGTTGGGAAGCAGCATGGCAATCGATGTGCCTAAAAGCCCCAAAAGGCCTAGGACGTAGCCCACCAGTTGGACGCCAAGGGAGGCCATGGCAGACCTCTCAACAGAAGTCCCTTCGGAGCCCGCTCGCTTGTCTCTTGGCTGCTGCTCTTGTTTCTTGGATCCCGGACTCTAATCCCTCATTTCACAGTGTCTCTGGCCAGCTGACTTCTTTCCTCCTTACAAGTATCTGTGGGTGGCCACAAGCAGGCTCAAGAAGGCATCTAGAAAACCTTAAAAAAAAAAAAACCCATAAACCAGATTAAATATTGACCAGAAGCTTATGAGAAACCAGAAAACGCTGGATGCCTTTTGACCTTTGTTATCTTTAAAAATAACACATGAGAAAGGAAAAAAAAAACTTTGGAAGTAGAGCCAAAATGTCATCACCTCCTGCGTAGGCACATGCTCTAGGTTGGCAGCCAGACAAAAGGCAGGGGCAAGACAGGTGGCTGCTTTCCGAGAAGGTAGTGGTGGCAATAGTAGTTGTGGTGTGTTAACGCCACAGCTAGTCTCCAAGGCCTGCTATTTAACATATTGCCAAGCAACCACACCATGGGGCCCCTCAGTTGCAGACTGAGGCCAAACTCCAGGAGACTGGATCATGTGGAACAAGTCTTAGAATGTGGCCTTGGACTCCAGTTTGTCAGAGGCTACTTGAATTGCCAAGGGACTAAAGAGTAGAGGCTTAGCCAGGAATCTTTCTGCCTATGGCAATAATGTCCTTCCAGGGCAGATCAGGGTGGGTAACAAAGCTTTCTCTCCGTTGTCTGAGAGATCAGGTCATTCTAGCTTGATCAGATCCCTCTGTGCAAGGTCACATAAGGGCCCCTAAAGGTGTAGCACACACACACCGGTTCTACTCACCACTGGTTCCTCTCCTAACATGATCCCATGACCAGCCTCTCAGATGACAAGGGAGGACTCTAGAGAAAAAGCTCTTCCAGGTCCTCAAGGTCCCTGGCTTCTTAGAGATGGTAGAAAAGGTGGAGGGGAGGGGAGGGAAGTTGCTCCATCCAGTATTAGAGGGCTTTGAAAGAGGTAGGCAGGCATTCGGTGATATATGGGACTTTGCAGTGTTAGGAGATTCCTCACTCTTTTCCAAGGCTCAAGATACAAAGGTCAAAGTTACACACCTCCCCCCACCTTCTGCAGGACTGTTCAGCCCACAAATTTTCAACCCAATACAACATTGCTACTCCATCTTCACCTTCATCCAAAAAAATGGGGGGGGGGGGTGTCGGCTGGAGAGATAGCTCAGTGGTTAAGAGCGCTAGTTGCTCTATCAGAGGACCTAGGTTCAATTCCCGGCATCTACATGGGGGCTCAGAACTGTCAGTAACTCCAGTTCCAGTTCTGATTTCTTTTTCTGGCCTCTGCGAGCACCTGACACACAAGTGATGCATAGACATACATACAATCATAACACTCATATGCATAAAATAAAACATAAATGTTTTAAAATTCCTCTTTCCCGTTGCTCAGGGATCCATTCTTTCCTGAATTAAAACTCTAAAGATGAACAAGCACACCTACTCTATTACCTAATCTGTTCCCTATCCAAATCCAAATTTTCAGTGGTAACTCTCCTAATAGTCAACAGAGGCAAAGAGATCTAACAAAAAATTCGGGGAGGAGGAGATTGGGGTTTAGCTCAGTGGGAGCACGGAAAATTTCCTGACAACCTCCTTTGCCATTTTCAAAAGAACACAGCACCTCTCCCTCTGTACCTCCTGACCAATTCTTGCCTGGGTCCCATGTTGTCACCAAATGGTGACCTTCTTCAGACCAATATCCCAGGAGTGATCCTTGACACCCTGCTCCTGTTTATCCCTGCATCTTGTAACTACGAAGTTACACTAGTCCTGTCTTCTGAGTTACTCAAAATGTGGGACTCTCCTCTCTCATTTCCACCACTACTTCCTAATTCAGGGTTTTGTCATTCTCCCTTCCTGGCCTCGGGAAACACCAGTTTTGTAACTGCTTTTCCTTCCAGCCTTGTCTCTTCAAATTCAGTCTCTGTATGGTTGCCAGGATGGTCCTTAAACACATTAATCTGAAGAGGTCATTTGCATGTGTGCCTACATGTGCCTACATGTAGGTGTGTGGATACACACACAAATATTCACGGGGTTGCCGGGGAGGGATGTCACTTGATGCATAAACCTGTAGAGACTAGACCTTGACTTCAGGTATCTTCCTTGGTTTTTCTCCATCTTATGTTGTTTGTTTGTTTGTTTGTTTGTTTGTTTGTTTGTTTGTTTTTCGAGACAGGGTCTCTCTGTGTAGCCCTGGCTGTCCTGGAACTTGCTCTGTAGACCAGGCTGGCCTCAAACTCACAGAGATCCATCCACCTCTGACTTCTGAGTACTGGGATTAAAGGCGTCCGCCGCCACCGCCACCACCACCACCACCACCACCACCACCTGGCATGTTTTGATTTTTTGATAATTTATTTTGTCATGCATCTATGCATACATGTGTGTGTATGTGGAGGTCAAAGCACAGCTTTGTGGGGAGTTGGTCCTCTCCTTCCATCATGTGAGTTCTGATGATCAAATGCAGGTTGTTAGACTTGGCAGCAAGTGCCTTTACTCACTAAGCTGTATCATCACCTTCTGTCTTTTTTTTTTTTTTTTTAAGATGGTCTCTCACTAAACCTGGAGCTTGTTGTTTTGGCTGGCAAGTGAAACCTTGTGATCTACCTGATCCTCACCCACTCTGAGTGTACACACCTCCACACCCGGATTTATTTTTTACATTCTTCTTGGGATCTGAACTCAAGTCATCATGCTTTCACAACAAATCACTACTCTTAAGACATTCCGATGGCCCACTGTTGACCAAAGGATAGAATTCAAAGGATAAAATCCAGATTTGTTTGAACTCCATGACCTCCCAAGAGTCACCTCTTGCTGTCAACCTGCTCATACTCCATATTGCGGCTGAACTAAGTTCTTCTCAGCTCTTCAATCATGTCATGCGGTGTTTTGCTCCCACGTCTGAGTACAGGCTGTACTGAAAAGAACATCTTGAGGACTTAGCTTGGATATCTTCTGTTCTAGACATGGTCCAGTGCCCCTCCTCTGTGTTTTTTTCTGAAGATTTATTTATTTATTTTCATTTCATTTATTTATTTATTTTGGGTTTTCGAGACAGGGTTTCTCTGTGTAGTTTTGGTGCCTGTCCTGGATCTCACTCTGTAGACCAGGCTGGGTTTGAACCCACAGAGATCCACCTGGCTCTGCCTTCCAAGTGCTGAGATTAAAGGTGTGCACCACTGCCGCCGCCACTGCCGCCACCCCCCCTCCCACCCAGCAAGCTTATCTATTTTTATGTGTGAAAATGTTTTGCCTGTGTGGATGTCTGTGTGCCCATATGTGCAGGGCCCTTGGGTACCAAAAGAAGGCACTGGATACCCTGGAACTGGAGTTATAGAAGTTTATGAGCCAACATATAGGTGCTGAGATTTGAACCTGGGTCCTCTGGAAGAGCTTTCAGTGCTATTAACCACTGAGCCATCTCTCCGGGACAGTCTTCGCTATCCTTATGGTACCTTATGTTCATGCACTTCTATCATCACTGTAGTAACAATAATAAGAGCAACACACATACTGCCTATTGCATCCTTTCTGTCGTTTTCTGTTTTGTTTTGTTTCGAGAAAGCATTTCACTCTGTAGGGCAGGCCTGCCTGGAACCCACTGTGTAGCCTGAACTAGCCTCAAACTTGGGATCTTCCTTCCTCAGCCATCCAAGTGCTAGGAATACAGACATGCACCCTTGTGCCCAGATACATAGTGTTTCTCGTGAGACTATTATAAGTACTTTATATGAGTTAATTCATTTGATTATCAACTATTTCATGATAGATATACCAATACTCTCTACTGTATAATAGGTGAGAAAATTAAGGTCATCATATACTTGTGTTATATTGTAAGTTCCTATTTAAACTCATTTCTCTCTGCTGGTATGGGGGCTACTTGATGGCATCAAGGATGTCCTTTATGTCTGTATTTCATGAGCCTTACCCCCCAAATAACTCTTTAAACATACCTTTTGCTAAAAAAAAAAAATGGGGACGGGGGTCTTTCTATGTAGCCCTGGCTGGTCTGGTATTTGCTATGTAATCCTACCTCTAGCTCCTAAAGGCTGGGACTACAAGCAGGCACCAGCTCCCCCTAGCTTCAAACACATTATCTTAATGAAAGACTAAAAGCAGTAAACAGGTTTGACGGCCCCCAGGAGACTCTAATGAGTCAGTGAACATTGCTCAGAAAGGATTACCAAAGTGTTACCCGTGCAGAGAATGAAGGGGATCAGAAGAAAAGGAGATATAACTGGAGGAAACACACAATGAAGAAATAGTTACACTATTCTCTCTCTCTCTCTCATTCTCTCTCTCTCTCTCTCTCTCTCTCTCTCTCTCTCTCTCTCTCTCTCTCTCCATTTACTGACTATCTTGCCTGTGTAGTTGAAGGTGAAAAGCATGCTAAACTTGTGTCTTGCTCTCACAGCCTAGGACACATGGTTAGCCCTGTTCGTCAGCACTGCTGTGACCGCAGTATCTATGTAAAGCAAGGCAGATACCAGGGTACATTTAGCAAACTCGGCCATTAACAGCTATGACAGGGGGCAAGTTCTTTCCTGGCACTGGTTTTCTTTTGCTATTCTGGTCACAACTGTGCCTATCCAGGTCGCAGATGCACATCTCAGCAAGGCCTTGAGCAACCCTGCTTCTCCCTTATAGACATGGCCCTGTGAATAGTTCGCATTTCCAATACATTTTAACGCCCCCTTCCCTCCTCCCACCTCATTATGCAGCTATTCCTGCCAGTCTGGACCTTACTCTTTTCAGTCAACCTTCTTAACCCTTTCAATACTGCTATCTCCACTTCACCTCTGCACACACTTCTCTGCTGGAGCCTCGCTTCTTCCGCTTTTGCCCCCCACTCAGAATGCTCTGGTCAAAGTCAACCATTTCCTCATTCTAACGTCTCATACTCATATATCTACCACCTTGCTTTGCCCCTCTTCTTCAGGAAGCTGACTTCTCCATTGTTTTCTCTAGTGCTTCCCATGTTGTCGTTCCTCTTTCTCTCTTTTTGAAGACAGGACTTCCAAATGTCGCCGTGGCTGGTGTGGTACTCACTATGCAGCCCAGGGTGGCTTCGAACTCCTAGCAAATCCTCTTGCCTTAGATTGACAATGGCTGTTAATTCCATACCTCTCCCGTAGATCTCTCTTTTGAACTCTAGGTTTGCATAGTCGACTGCATTTGGAATGACCACCCATGAATGTATTAATGTATTAATGGCACCTCAAAATTAACACATACAAAGCTGAAGACTCCCTGCTCGTCTTTCCCATCCTCAAACTACTCCTCATACAGTATGCCCTATTGCAGTAGTATAATCAGCCATCCAGTAACCCAAGCCAGTAAGCCTTGGCTCTTCAGTTTTTCTGGGTTTTTTTTTTTTGTTTGTTTTTTTGTTTTTGTTGTTGTTGTTGTTTTGGTTTTGAGATAAGGTCTTGCTATATAGCCCAGGCTGACCTTGAACTTGTGGCAACCCTTCTACTTCACTCTCTGAATTCTGGGATTATAAGAATGTGCCACCCCACAGTTGACTTCTTCACATTTCTTGACATATAGTCATGAAGTCATGCCAGATATACCTTCAAAACAAAACACAGATGTATCTGTTTCTCTCCCTCTGCACTGCCCAAACCTTAGTTTAGACCACACAGCCAGCATCTCTTATCTACAGGAAATCACGGACCCTCACATTGGTCGTGCTAATCCCACTTCAGCTCTGCCCCTGCAATCAGTCATCAAGCCAGTCACAAAGGATATCTCTAAAGTGTCAATCCAGTCATAACTGTCATGCTACCCCTTGCCATGCTTAAAAGACTTTTGGAACTTTTGATTCCTTTCAAGATAAGGCTTGCTCTCCTAGGAAACCAGGGAACGTGTTCTGTTGTCTGACCTCACCCTTTTCTTCTGAGTTTCATCTCTAACCATTAACCTCCCATTTCATGCCGTATGCCTTTAGGCTAACCTCCCCCCATGCATGTTCACACACATGCACACCATTTCAGCTGTATCTGGGCAGCTGCAGTTCTCTCCATCTCCCTTTGTGTTCAAGCTTTGCCATCCACCATTTGCCCGGAGACTTGCTGGTCGTCCTTTAGTGTTATAATCATCCATATTTGAGAACTGTTCTTGGACCCTCCTCCATTCCTTGTCCAGGCTGAGTTGAATACCTTCCCTTCAAACACGCAGAAGGGTGGAGAACTACCTTAAAGATAGGAAAGGACTCCTGGCTCTCAGAGAAGCAGCTTGGTGGCACATACCTGTAATCCCAGCACTCAGGAGGTAGAGAAAGAAGTATGGTGAGTTAAAGGCCAACTTGGGCTACATAGGGAGTTCTAGGTCAGTGTCAGTTACCATAGCAAGACTCTGTCTCAAAAACAAGCAACCAAAACCAAAACAGCAGACAGGTGGTGGTGTCGCACACCTTTAATCCCAGCACTCAGGAGGCAGAGGCAGGTGGATCTCTGTGAGTTCGAGGCCAGCCTGGTCTACAGAGTGAATCCAGGACAGTCACCAAAACAACACAGAGAAACCTTGTCTTCAACAACAACAAAACCAAGCCAGCAACCCTCAGTTTCCCCAAGAAAATCAAAGGTTCTCCAAGGGTAAAACCTCTCCTGAGAGCCAGGCCTGACTTAGTAGTTGTGAGAGGAAAGTATCTGTGAGTGCACTCAGGAAAAGGCCTTACCTGAAGGCTGGAGTCTTCACAAAGGGAGTTGCCATAGCTGAGCAGCCGGAAGGGGCACTACTAGAGTTTACTCAAATGGGGAAAGTGGCTCCCTGGGAGTTCCTTCTCCCATAGGGTCAGGAAGACAAGGTTGAAAAACTAGCAAGTGACTGGGTGATGAGGTGAGCTAGGCTGGATTCATCTTTGGTGAGCAGTAGCACTGAGGGCAGACACTGTGAAGATAAATGGTCCTGCCTGAGTGGCCAAAGCTCTTGTTTCTTGTCTCAGTTGTACCTACAACTTGTTGAAGAAATCCCCTGAGTTCTTTATGCCTGACTTTGTTTATCAGTAAGGTTTTCTTCACCTCGAATTAGGTAGTAGAGAGAGGAGGTCTCTCTCTAAAAATTTTTTTTTAATTTTTTAATTTTTATTTTTTACAAATGCAGAGGACTAGAAAGCTGCTATTTGAAGCAGAGGGCTTTAGAAGAAACTTTTCTTTCAGGGGTCCTCCTGAAAGCCAGGTGCCAGAGATTCTAGGCCTTGCTAGATGAAGTCGTCCCCTGGGAGTGAAGCCAACATCCTCCATGGCCAAAAGCTGGCGGAGAAAGCTTCCCTCTGGACCCTTACCTAATCTTCCTTAGGGCAGGGATTGGAAGTGCAGGGGAAGATTAAGAGGGTCAAGTCTGACTTAACTCCTTCTCACCAGGGCAGTCCCTTGATAGCTTTCCCATCTGTGGTGCCTGGTGTGTCTCTATGGAGGATGCTCTTAGAAACAAGAGTGTGACAGGACCATAAAGAGTCTCTGGCTCAAGGAAGGACCTGGTATAGCCTTCTGTTAAGAACGGAAGCCATCAGATCCTGTTTGCCGGTCATCCTCATGTTCCCATCCCTTGAGTTTAGAGCCCCTGGGAGGAATCTGAGACTGTCGATCCCTCCCCTGTCCCCCACTGCCACATCCCAAGGGCTCAAGCGGCTGTAGAAGCCATCTCTTTGCAGTCCACCTCTCTGCACCGGTTGATGGATGGCAGCTACGGGGATTGCACCCGGTGAGGGATTTTATAATTGTCTTTAAAAAGAAGTTTCTTTTTGTCCAGATCACCAAAGTCAAAGCAAGCATACTTTAAAGCACTGGGAAACACAGAGAAGAAGGATTTGTGAGACAAAAATCTGCCACTGTCTCCCTACCTATCAGTGCTATGAGTGTTTTGGCTCCAACTCCATTTTTGAAGAGCACTTGAAAAGAACAGTGCCTGAGATGGGGGCATTCATGGAGAGCAGCTGAGGGGTTTGAAAGGAGAGTCACGGGGAACCCACCTTCTGTTGCCCCATAAGCTCTCATGCCCAGGAGGACATTGGAGCTTCCCATCCTGCTTAGCCCCATGTTGGTCCAGCAAAAGGGAAAGCTCCAGCCCTCCTCCTCCTCCCTTATTCTCCCGAATTCCTTCATTTCTGATCTGAAGAACGGATCTTCTGGCCCTTCACCTTAAAAGACGGCAAACCTTGTTACAACTTGAAGAAAACACATAGTGCCAACCCATGTGCCCACTTCCATAGCCTCCCCCAGCTTCCCAAGGGAGCCCACCCTGACTCCGTCATGGGCTCTGGTGACTGCAGCTGGGGTTGAAACCACCCACCTAAGTGAGCCTGAAGGATGGCAAGTGCATCAGGATACTTACAGAGTAGCTGTTCTTTGGAAGAGCTCCTGCTGAAGAGATGCTCCCGGGGACAGAGGACTGGGTCCTGAGAAAGGCGAACCCGCTTCCAAGGGGCCACAGGCTGTGGTGATCAGGGATTTCTAATTGTTAGCCACAGCTTTTCAAAAATCCACCTGTAAATCGGAGCCTTCTTACAGATGAGAATTAAACCCCTGGAGGCTGGAACAGATTGAGGTACTCTTTAAGAAATGTTTGGTGGGTTTTATGTTTACCCTGTCAAAAACTCCAGCTGGGCTTTTGTGTGGTGGACCTCGGTGGGGAGGGGGATTGGGGCCAAGGAGGAATTTAGAACATTCCTGCTTTGGGGGGAGGGGAGAGAAGGGCGTTCTGTTATGCCCATTAGGTGTCCCTGGCTTGCAGCCCCAAGGCTCAGCAGGAAGTAAGCCTCATAAACAGGGCCTGGGTGAAGGAGGGCCTAAGTGTGGCCTGGCACTGCTGTCCTGTGCTGCCAGGCCTCCAGAAACTCCTTAACTCACTGTGGTTCTTTGGTTAGGTCCCCAGCCCTACGCCCCCTCCAACGCCAACTTCCCAAGAGAAAGCAAGTGTACCGTAGATCTGAATTTTTTACGGTGAAAACCCGGGCTCTCGCAGGCCCAACAAACTAGGTTTAGCCACTGTCTCTACTACACCGATGAAAGACACCAGTTAGAGCAAAAGCAGAGAAAGGAGATTTATTCAGTAGGGTAACTTTGGGAAGAAGAAGAAATAAGGGAGCTCAGGGATCCTGCAAGTCCATCTTCAGGGGGTTGACAGGAGGATTAGGTTTCTGGAGAAGAAACGTGTGCATGATTGGGCAATCCTGGGCATGGGGCAGCCCTATCCATCATTGATTGTCTGTTGTCTCTAGCTCCTCTCTGTCCTGCAAAGTGGTCTGATAACCCCTGTGAAATCTCTTCCTTGGTAGCAAGTTCCTCCTTTGCCTAGCAAAGGCTTCTTTCCCATCAGGCCTCAGCCTTGCCGTCTCCCATCAGATTTCAATTTTGCATGAGACCCCTGGGGAAATTTTTGTTCTTTCTGCTTGATTTTTCTCAATGGTCTGATAGTCAAAGGGAGAGACATAGGCATCTCTTTTTCAAACATATTCTCTCTGGACTAGGGAATGTAGGTCAGCCTGGTAGTTAGCTTGGTTTGATTCTTAGCACCCATAAAACTAGGCATGGAGCCCAGGCCTCTAACCTGGGATGGGAGGTGGAGGCAGGAGGTTCAGAAGTTCAAGGTAAGTTTGAGACCAGTTGAGCTATATGAGACCTGACCTAAAAAAAAAAATTAAGCTGAATGTATGAGTGTAGTCTCCCTTTCTCCTGCCCTTTCTCCTTCTTCTCTTCCTTCCTCCATCCTTCCCAGAAAAAGAATCTCTTTTCTCCTACCAAGAGAGATTACAGATGCTCTGTGGGTTCAGAGCAGGTCCTGCACAGTGAGCCTGATGAAGCTACCATAATAATAGGCTTCCTCCCCCCCCCCAAACACAGAGGTACTAAATTGCCATTGGAGCCCCCTCAAAAGTTCTGTATGATTAGGGTTCCTCACCAAGTAGAACAAAAATTTTCCTTTTTTTTTTTTTTGTAATTGTGACAGGCTCTCTATGTAGCCCAGGCTAGCCTCAAATTCACTATGTATCCCCTGGCCTAGAATGTGTAGCAATCCTTTTATCTCCTAAGTACTGGGATTTACACACATGAATCATCATGTCTGATGCTGTTGAAAAGAATTCAGAGGCTGAAATGTTCCCAGAATGCTACTGGCCAGTGAGCATCACTGCTAACATTTTGAAACCATTAATGGAAATACATTTTACAAAACCGAATCCCACTATATCTATGATTCTGTAACCTATCATTTCTAAAGACTGTATCAAGGAGCTGTTCCCATATCAATTAAAAACCAGAGCTTTTTAAATCTCCAATACCTACATTGCATTCTACCATGTAAAATGATGTCTTTAACCATAAACAGACATTTTGTCATATACCACTTTTGTTAGTACAAAATCTCATCTTTCCACATGACCCTAACAAATTCCTAGGCCTAGAATTGCTTAATTAGAGATGATTTACTTGTAAAGGCTAATACACTATATTATAAAACTAAGATGGCTGCTGCTGTTTCCAATGAAGAAACTTAAGTCCCACGAGGTGAGAGAACAAACTACCCAGCAACTCAAGGTGAGTTGGACCTGGTATCTAGGTGTCTAGTTGAGTCAACTTTCAGGTGAACACACTGGGACTCCGTCGGGTCAGGGGCCACTATGCAGTTGGTGGTGCTATGCCCTGTGCTAGTACTTTGTGGTGGTGGTGGTGGTGGGCTTTTCCCACGCATCTCTCACTGAGCTAATACAGAGCAAAAGCACGCCTGAGTACTAAACGTGGCCCACTCTGGACTTGGACTCTTAATCAGTGTATTTTAGGTGTTTTGGTTTTTTTTTAAGAACTATCAAAGCAAACAGATTTGTTGCCTAGGGAGAATTCAGCGAAGCAAATCAGAATTCATCCTCCTTCCTAAGATGGCCCATCCCTGCCTAGCAGGTATGAACTGGTCACTGATCCCCCTAACAGCACTCCTGCACAAGAGGCTCTTCAGGATTGTCCCCCTTGGCAGGCTGGGACAAGCTAAGGTCAGTGAGGCCTGAACTCAGGCCTGGGGACTCAGCATGAAAGCAGGCAAGGCCGTAGGGGCAAGAAGGATAACCTGCTAATCCTCTAACCAGCTCTGTGACCTTGAGCAAATCTTTCCATCCTCTTTTTTTTCCAGGCTCCCCACAGCGGACTCTTCAAGCCTGAACTAATGAATCCGAAAGTGTTTTGACACTTAGAAAAGGCTGGTTGAAGGCAAGATGTTTGACTTGGTGGTGGTGGGGCAGCTTATCAGCTCTCAGTGATACTGTGCAACCAAGGAAAGGCAGAATCTCAGGGACAGGTGCCAGGGCGGATGAGGGCACTGTGTTCGAAGGATGTGGTTACTGCGTTGGCAAGCATTCAAGGACTAGGTTCTAACAATGCTTCATACAGGTCGGCAGTGACAGATCCTGGTGGCCCCACGCCAAAGTGTATAAGCCCTGGGTTTCGAGGTTGGGAGGGATCTTAGTGATCATTCTGCTGAGACCCCCAGCTGAGATCCAGCCAACCTACCTAGGTAGAGGATGGAGTAGGATGCAAAGGAAAAGGGGAGAGCAGCAGTTTGGGGAGAGGAGTGTCTGGTTAAGGAGAAGAATGTGTAGTGTGAGAACAAAAGGAGGAAACTAAAGGTCTGAAGAGTGACGAGGAAAAGAGAGTGGAAGAGAGGAGAGAGCAGTCTGAGGAAGAGAATGTAAGTCGTGTAGGTAAAGCAAGGTCTTGAAGGAGAGAGAAGAGACCATATGATGAAAAGAGAAGTCTGGAGTTGAGGATATAGCTTAAGAGGCAGAATGTTAGCCAGGCGGCGGTGGTGCATGCCTTTAATGCCAGCACTCTGGAGGCAGAGGCAGGTGGATCTCTGTGAGTTCAAGGCCAGCCTGGTCTACAGAGTGAGATCCAGGAAAGGCACCAAAACTACATGGAGAAACCCTGTCTCAAAAAACAAAACAAAAACAAGTAGAATGTTTGTCTAACATGCAGGAAGCCTGGGGTTCTATGTAGCATGACACAAAGCTGGCCAATGGTTTATGCCCATGATCCTTATACAACCAGAGGCTGAAGCAGAATTGCCATGGATTCACGACTAACCTAAGGTACATGGTGAGTTTCGAGCTAACCTGGACTACCAAATGAGATTATGTCTCAAATAATAACAATGAACAGAACAACGAGAAGGAAACAAAAGTTGTCTAGAGAGAGAAACAACAGCAACTTGAGACAAAACTAAGGAGGAAAGGACTCTGGGAAGAGTTGGGGGGGGGGGACAGGGGAGAGATTCGAGAGATGGCTACCTGACCATTCCACCAGACCAAGACATACTTGTCACCATTGGCCCCATGCCACCAAGTCCAATGGCTACTTCTGAGACCTTAGCTTCCCTCATTTCCATACAGCTTTCTACACCCTCCATAAGTGCCCTGTGAGGTACTCCTTTTGGCTGCTGACACAACGCTCCCATGGTTTCTCACCCTACCTCTTGAACTCCTTTTTCCTTGGCTCTTTTCTCCTCTGTCAGACAATAAGGATTGCTGTTTCATAAAAGTAGAGAGTAGAATAATGATTACCAGAGCCTCAGAAGGACATGGTTGACAACAATTAATGTTTAATGTTTCAAAATAGCCAGTGAAGAGGATCATGAATGCTTCCCATACAAGGAAGTATTATTTGAGCTGGGGCAGGGGAGGTGTCTTGGCTGTTAAGAGCACTGACTGCTCTTCCACAGGACCTCGGTTTGATTCCTAGCCTACACATGGCTGCTTACAACCATCTGTAACTCCAGCTACAGGGGATCCAATGCCTCCTTCCAGCCTCTGAGGGCATCATACACATGTGGTGCACAGAAATACATTCATACACATAAAATAATAAAATACAAAGGAATTTTAAAGACTTCTCTGGAGTTAGGGTTGCATCAGTTATCCTGATGTAATCATTACATAACTCGAGAAATCTACGGAGTCTGCTTAAAGGGTAAATGAATTTATTAGGGAGGAAGACTCACTACAGCACAGAAGATTTATCTTAGGGTACTGGAAGTTTGAGGTACAGTCCAATGCTGTTCTCCTGCCTGGGTCTGTCTCAGCATCCAAGCCCTCAAGGGAGAGAAGAGAGTGGTATATGTGTGTCTGAGGTCTTAGGGGTAGCCCTGAGCCATTATGCTCCAGGGGCAGGTACTTCAATGTCACAGATTGGCAGGACAGTTACCTGCTACATCCCTAGGGGTGGTGCTTCAAGGTCATAGCTAGAACAAGTATCCACTACATCTACACACTGTACATATGTATCAAAACATCACACTGCGTTCCATATTATGGGCCAGTTACAAGTCCAAACAATTTTAGGTGGCTGGGGTTATAACCAAGTGGTAAAGTGCTTGCTCGGTATACTGATGGCCCAAGGTTCCCTTTCCAGCACCTCCAAAATTGTTTTAAAATATGGACATTTCTAGCAAGAGTGGGAGGGAAATAAGAGAGAGTGGAGGAAATAATTGGAGTGCATTATATACGTGTTTGAAATTGTCAAAGAGCAAAATTTATTGATACAATTTCA